TTCCCCCGGGCAAGCACAATTTGTTGCCGCGCAGTATAGCCGCCGTAGCACTCGGTACAACAGGGTTAGTTTCCACTGCGATGCACTATCTTTCATCGAGGCGGAACAGGAATACGTATTTTTTGTTTCACACTCTCCATTTCGCTGTCTTCTCCAGCGTCACCTACTTTCCGAGCCGTTGATATACATAGAGGCGTTCGCTCGCCAAGTCGACGCCGTTGTTTCACTTTTCTGTTCATTTTTCTTTCTTTTAGATGCGGAAGCATCTTATACTCGCGCCTTGCAGTGCGCCGTCTGCGCCGTCCGCACCGCTTCTCGAACATTCGACAGCTGACGCGCGCGCATGCGCCGTCGCGCCGTCGCCCACTCTTCCACCATCTGTGCATCCCTTCCTCCTCTACACACCGCGCGCGCTTCACTCCTCCACCATCTGTGCACCCTTCCTCCTCTACACACCGCGTTCGACATCTACAATTCTCCTGATTCTCCAGTGGACGCGCATGTGGCGTCGCGCTTCGAGAACATTCAACAGCTGACAGTGCATGCGCCGTCGAGCTGTATATATACTCAAGGTCGGCGCTCGCTCGCTCAGTTGCCGCTCGTCGGTTGGTTTGTACGGCGCGTCGACGTCCAAGGTCGCGGTGAAATGAATTCCAACGAATCCACAAACACAATGATCGACGTCCCTTCGACCAGCGCCGCCCTTTCGCATACGTGTGTACGTGTTCACTCATTTAACACCCCTCCTACAACCACGTTAACCAATTTAGCCATCGACCCAAGTAAGTCGCAATTTAACACCCCATTTCACAACCACGTTAACCAATTTAGCCATCGACCCAAGTAAGTCGCACTTTAACACCCCGTTAACCAATTATATGCTCCGCATCCTCCTCAGTGTTCCCCCGAGGGAAGCTGCGGGCAATTTTTTTTTCTTCTGCGATTCTTTCTTGAGGACTTGAGAAGAAGTTTTTCCTCTTTGTTTAAGGAACCTTCTTCGGGCTTCCGATGGATAACTTTCAAGTAAATCCTTTTTGTACCAGGCTAAACAAAGAAGTCAATAAGTATGAAACAAGTGGAAGAGCAACGAACGTTGAAACAATAAGTTCGAACGCGTAGCACTATGTTGCCAGATTTTTTCTTCTGCGATTCTTTCTTGAGGACTTGAGAAGAAGTTTCTCCTCTTTGTTTAAGGAACCTTCTTCGGGCTTCCGCTGGATAACTTTCAAGTAAATCCTTTTTGTACCAGGCTAAACAAAGAAGTCAATAAGTATGAAACAAGTGGAAGAGCAACGAACGTTGAAACAATAAGTTCGAACGCGTAGCACTATGTTGCCAGATTGTTTCGTTCGGCTATTTTGTCAAGCACGGGTCTTTTTTTTTCGAATCTATCAGTCTTTTGTTTCCGGAATCTAGAATTCTCAATCTTTTGCGCAATGTATGGTGGTACTTGGACTTTCACGTCTGAGTTTGTGGTATATGTCCCGCGTGAGTTCTGTTCTCTCCGGAATTCGCCGCAAGCTAGCGAGTAGATTTGTATTTTCTTTTTTTACTACTCATGGAGTTGGTCAAGTAAAATTTTAGGTCAAGTAAAAGGTTGGTCAAGTAATCTGTCGAGAATTGCGCTTCGTGCGAATCTTTGTTTGTTTGTTTGTTTGTTTGTTTGTTTAAGCGTGTGGATTTGTGCTAAGAAGTTTTGTTTTTAGCAGACGGTATCTTTCCTTACAAAAACTGGAATTCATTGTAGGCCCGTGTGCTCAGATTTGGGTGCACGTTAAAGAACCCCAGGTGGTCGACATTTCCGGAGCCCTCCACTACGGCGTCTCTCATAATCATATGGTGGTTTGGGACGTTAAACCCCACACATCGATCGATCGAAAAACTGGAATTCGGGGGGGGGGGGGGGGGTGTAGGAATACATATTAAACAAGCAGCGCAAAAGACAGGGACACAACGAACGCTTGTCTGGTTTTCCTGTTCCATCTTGTGTTCCTGTCTTTCGCGCTAGTTGTTCAGTAGCATTTTTTTCCGCAGATATAATATGAAGAGAAGGCAGCACCAAAGATGAGAGGAGGCGATTGATCCACGAAAGCTCAATCGAACTAACGGACGTGCAAGTTAGACAATTTTAGTGGACTTGTCGCTGAAGATCTATCATTGTAAGCAGGGCGAAACGTACCAAAGACAGATGCAAAGTGCATCTTCGTAAAGTATGTCTTTGCATGTATCTGTCCTCTTTGTACAAAGTACTATGAACTTCGTCGTTCAAGGTACCTATCCGTATCTGTCCTTCGTAAAGTGTCACGCTGTTTGCAGTGTTAAAATATAGGCCCCCTACTCTGTCGGGGGAGGGGATGGGTATGGTTAGAAGAAGAATAACACCGGTGCCTTCCTTCCTATGTCGCTGATTGGTTGGACAGGTGATGACGTCACACGAATGTGAACTCACGAATGTGACGTTGTCACACGACAATTTTTTCTGTTCGTGTTAGTTGTGTTTACGTTTAAAATTGTCGTTTGGAAGCGTGCCAATGTTATTGTCAAGTACGTTTCTTTAGAAAAACGAAAGACAATCTGTCTTAGCAATTAACAACAGGTCGCATCCCGAAGGCAATTGTCATCAGTATTCTGTTTGTTTTACAAAATTTATTTGTGTTACCTTTTCTTAATTTCAATTTAACAGATCAAAGGTTTCCACGTGAGAGTGCGTAACTAGGACGCTGCTGCCGTCGTTTCAGTCCGAACAATGCTTTATCGTCGCGCGCAAACTTATCGGCGCTGCTCGAGGCGCGCAAAGCATCTCCAGTTCCGCAAGCAATACACTTCCAACGACGCTGTTTGTCTGCATCCGTTATCTTGTGCAGCTTCGCTTGCCACGCAATCACGCCGGAGGCAGGCGGGGCATTGTTCGATCCTGCGTAATTGAATGGGACGCCGCCCGTCGAAGCGGGTGTGCCGTGTGGTTCTGCCAGCTTTCAAGGGGGAGGTAGGCGGATTAAATTGAATCTGACCAGGCTTTGCCTTGTTACGTGTTGATCGAGATTGTTTTGTTAAAAAAAAAATTCCTAGAGAGTTGCGTAGGACGTGCGCATCGCGATCGTGGCAAAACTTCACCCTCCATTCCGTGCTTGTTTTCGTGCACGGTATTGGTGTTAGGCTTGGAGAGTTTTTCCAGGCGGCCACACGTTGGTGGATGGCTGCGTTTTGTCAGGATTGAATGGGCACGCCGCTGAGTGCGTTGTTGCGACATTTCATTAAGCTTTCGAGTGGGTGTGACGTCATGCCTGCTCTGTGTAACTGTCGATTGTGTGGCGTTATCATATAATTTTATTTGACAACGCTGTTTTATACTGGCACGTTATTCTTGTAAACATGCTCGGTTCTCGTGCATTGCTTTGTCTTTTATAGCAAAATCTGTTATGACGTCACAAGAACGGTCGCATGCACCGTAGTTGTCCGCCGCTGGTGTCAGTAACTACTATCGCTCGAAATAACGAAAGAACCTTCGTATATAAAACACCAAAAACACGATGGTATTCGAACCCGGGTCCCCTGCGTGCAAGCTCAGTGTTCTATTACCGAGCTAAGTCCGTGCTTCAATCTCCGTTCCCAGCTCACCCTAGGCAGACTTGATGTCAACGAAGGAATCGCGTTAACAGTAGTAATTGAGCGTTTTAGAACAACCAAAGAAGAACCAGGTGTCACACAATGCGAGTGGGTCATCGAATGCTTCAACCCACTACTAGAATTTCAGGCATCATTCTGCATCGTCGTCAGCCACAGCATTAAAAAGAAAATGCCACGAAATTTCTTGCGAGTGTATGTAGCTGGCACCACGCTTCTCCGAAGAACGACGAAAAGTGGCATATCGAATGCCTGCCTACTACACCAAAATTATGATTTATGGTGTAGTGGGTGCCCTTCAAATCTGAGTGTAGCAGTTACCCAAATAGTGTTCTAAAGAAGGCTTTGAAATGCCGCTCTTCTAGCTTACGCTGTGACTGTGCTGCGCGTTCCGCGCAGGAAGGAAGGCAGGAAAATAACTTTATTTTGGTCCCGCGGAACGGACTGTTCCGCGCAGACCTGGCGTTTTTTTTTTGTTTTTTTTATCGTTTGTTTGGTGATTCGGACCCCGCAGACTCCGCTTACTCGTTGCTCCCCGTATCGCCTGCCACGTACATTAAAGTAAATTAAAGTAAATAAATAAATAATTGGAGAATGCTCGTAGAAACCCACCTGTCATCGCAGTTTTTTGTGTGTTTTTTACGGGAACGTACAGTATATCAGAAAGCATGATTTCACATGTATTAGTAGATTGCTTTTGTACCAGGAGTACCACTCTTGCGGTGAAAAAATGTTTGGTGGTCGAGAAAACAGACAGAAAAAAAATGGGGGTATAAGTTGAGGGTTCAAGGCCCCCCACCCTCCCCCGATAAATTTGACTATTTTTTTTAAATTTTGTATGTTTATATAGTACACACACACGAACATACATCAAGAATGGCTGAAATCTCTCAAAAAAAAAATTCTGGCTACGCTGCTTCGTAAGTGAATGGTGACGCCATTCTGATTTTTTTTCGTAAATCGCCGCGAAGTCATAAATTTTGGTGGTGCTTGATATGGCCTGCGTGATTTTTTGTCAGACCAAAGGAAATTCATTTTTCTTTCAACAGAAACAGACATTTAACAATGGTCAGATAGAATTAATGAGCCAGTGGCTCGAAAACACGACAGATATTGTTAGTAGCAACGTCACGACCAAGGAGGTTTAACCTTTTTGGTCGTGGAGGGGGGACCAAACTCCCAACTATACGTTTGGGTGCTGAGGCTTTGGTCCGACACTCGAGAATAAAAGACATTTTCCCAGCATTGGGACGTTACGCTTCCCTAATTATGCTACGAATATAATGACGCCGTTGTTGATGGTGAATCTGTTATGACCGTCATAGCGTAATAAGTTTCATTCAGTACATAACGAATCCCGTTCTCGTTTTTCGCAGGCAATAGGCATTGTGGGCGACCGGACGCAGGACCTGAATTTAAAAGGTGAGCGTGTTCAATCACGTGATCGCTTGTGAGTGCTAGAAGCGTAGGGCTACGTCACGCGTGGCATTTCCATGTACATCCGGCGACAAAAGTTGAGGGACTGCTCATCTGAGAAAACTTAACCCGTGTCTTTGATTGGTGTGTCGCTCGGTGGCTTTCCTTTAGGGGCATTGTGACGGGCTCGTTGTATATGATTAGGAGTGAAGTAGCAACTGTGGAGTATTGCATGTGTTCTTGTATGTTCATTGTGTGCGTTCGTGCGTGCTGCGTGGGTACGCAGATGTCTCGTGATCACTATAAACTTGTGATGTTGACCGGATGTGTCTTCAGCAGGGCCGGTGGATTCCAGCTGCCTGCATCGTCTGCATACTCACTTGGCTCAACTCATGCTCTGACCTGTAATTAGTGTATAGTTGCAGTAAGACAAGAAGGACAACTTCCCATATATAAATTACGATTTCTTTTTCAAGTATCGCGTATATGTTCCTAAACGGTTGCATAAATTACAATCTCTCTCTCTCTCTCTCTCTCTCTCTCTCTCTCTCTCTGCAAGCTTTCAAAAGCGGTAACGTACTAATTTTATTAAACGTTTCTTTTGATATAGTATTTGGCGTCTGCGTCGTCCGGCTGTTTTCTCGTAACTTAATTGTTACCTCGTCTGAACGCCCTTTTCAAAGATTTGCCAAGTTCCGTTCCGCGCGCAGCTCAATTTCTTATCACACGATTTTTGCGTCTTACTTCTTGTCCCGGTCTTCTTTTATTCCGAGTAAAACTTCCTTGAATTTTTTTATTGTCTCTTACGGAGCGCTTGTTTGCTTTTAGTCAAGTGTTCAACCTTTGGTTGGTGTGATGTTTTCGCTCCGTCTTTCTTTCTTCATTTTTTTTCTTTCCATCTCGCGTAGCTGGCTTGAAGTTAATTGCCAGATCTCTCTACAACAATTCGTTTGAACCGACGAAACCAAATCCACCCGTACCAAAATACACCCGTACTACGGTGAAACTGCCGTCACTACATCAGAACATCCGGGTAGAGAGAGCTTTAGGGAGAAAGGTCACGGCTGTTTTTCCAGTCTATTTCGCAGTTTCATTTCTTACCGTTCTTTTTTTTTAAGTTTCATCTCATTTCTCAGCAAGAGAAATCCTGGAATAAAGTGGATTGGACTGACGATGGTTAGGCAACGTGTGCTGTAACAGAACATGTCGTCCAGAGAAGCAGCCGGGAATGCGTATTTAATCCTCGATCTCCCTTCTTTTTTCTTTATACGAGGAGTGTAGGAGGTTTAGAATTGACCTTTGAAATGTTTGTTCGGCATGTCGGGAAGTGCTTCTGCAGGTTCAAGCGGAAGAGGTGCGCTGCCCGATTTTGCTTATTTATTTCTTCACGTTCGCGCGCTTGTTGAAGTTGGCGTTGTCTTTTAGAACCTAAACAGATTAGTATTTCGAAAAAGAACGCCCGCAAGGTTCGAATGTTGTTGCTAGAAATTGTATCTGAGCGCTTGGAAGGTGGTTCGTGTGAGCTAGCTCATTTTTAAAGTGCGAATGCGTTTCTTAGTCGGGCTATGTCAGGCATCCGGCGTTGTCCGCGGCGCCGCTCTCATTCCCTCTCCCATATAGCAACAGCTGCGGGCGGCGCGCTTATTCTCGCCCCTAGCAATTGGAGCGTGTGGTCCGAGAGAATGTGGGTGAGGGTAGGTGCAGTGCTTTGCCCGTGGCTTTGCCGCTTCTTCTCTCGTCGTTTGATCTTCTCCCTGCGTCCACTTTCTTGTCCGCTCGCGCCTCACTCTCGACCGTTCGCTGGCTGGGTACCTCTCTTGAACATCCGGAAATGTGCGCTCGAGACGCCGCTATGCAACGCCAACGCCGAGCCGAGAACGCTGTTTGTTTTGTTCACTTCATGGTATTTTTGAACCGTGCACGGTAGCTACAAGAGCTGGAAACGCATGCCGCGTTTAAATAATTGAGCGAGTGAACGAGAGTGCTTGGGTGAATTAGTTAATGTTAACTAGTCGAGCACGTATTAAAATGCTGTAAAGGCAATAATTAGGAAGGTAATCAGGACATGTTCAGTGACTGGCAATATTAATGTGAAACTTTTTGTCGGTGCTAATGAATGCCTAGTCACGTGGTTCGTCCATTTACAGGAACGCCTGTGGCATGACATGATCACTGAAAAAAAAGTTTAGTACAGAATAGAAACACCTGGTATATTGCGTACTCTATCTCAGCCTGAAATTTTAAAGGTGATGATGCACCACAGGGGCGGAAAATGAAATGAAGGTTCGGATAGGATGCTGAATCTTAAAGTATATCGCTGTCAACGAATGTGCCTGTATGATGAGGAAGGGTACGGGCATCTGGCTACTTTTTGAGAAAGTTAAACCAGTGCAACATAATTATCTGACAGCTAGATATCTGATAGATTATAGATGTGCACATACGTCATACCTCTATGACTTTCTCAGATATGGTTGGTAGATGTACCACCACGTACGTTGCACGGTCTCAATATTTTTATTGCATCATCCTCTCTATATGGTTTTACAAATATTGAGGCCAGAATCATTCATAAAAAGTCTGTTTGTAGAAGAAAAAAATTGTGAGTCAGTTATTTCATTTATGGTTTCACCGCGGAGGACATGCAAAAATAATAAAAACAAAATTATGTACGAGAGCAGTTAGAGCTGTTGTGTATCATTACTTCCTGCACTTATTTCGTTATTTATGCATTACGAATTTTACATTCCAGTATTTTATTTGTGAAAGCCAGACATCATGGCCCCCTTCTTTAATAATTTTTGTAATAAACAAAAAAGAATAGCAAACTTTGCATCGAGAGTACGCTGCTCATGACATCTTGACATCGCGGGCTCCATGACTTTCTCTTTCATTTTGCTGTATTCGTCCCGTTTTTCAGGGTAGCGCAACATACATACTCAATTTTAGTTAAGGATGCTTTTTGTAGTATTTTGACGTGTGTCACGGGTTATGAGAGGTGGTCTTCAGAGCTCTAACATTCTTTCGCACAACCTTCTTCAGGAGAGAAGCTCGATGCCAGGCAGTGCGAGGCCATGGAGGACATCTTCAAGGCCATGCAGTTCGACTCCATCAGCCTGGAGGGGTGTCACTTGGATGACGAGGTGGGCTATTATACCGGCGATGCTCTCTGTTTGTCGAGGACACAGGAAACCAATTGATAAACTCGTCGTTAATTAAACGGGCCCTGCAACACTTTTTGAGCATGGTCAGTGACACGCTGCCAATCGGTAGTCGAGTTTCCCCAGAACACGCGAGCCAGATATTATAGCGCAGCACGCGCGTCCTGGAATTCACGAGTAATTCTCATAGTGTGCTAGAAGTTCCTCCATATTCTCTTTACAAATGATGCCATACACCCAAAGTCCACTGTCTGATTTGAGCATCGTGATCTGCATAGTTACCGCGGCTGCCGCAGGATGCCACCACGTGCACGCGAGCTCGCTCATGATCACGTAAGTAATACGCACTTTCAAAGAAAATAAATTGCCCAAGGTCATGACGTACGAATGGACGCATCTCCTTGCCCTTTATCCTCACCTTCTTGCGTATAGCTTTCAGCACGCTCGCTGGAACGAAAGGACAGAGAGCGCTTGAGGGGTGCGAGATGTACATCCGGGAGTACTTGACGGATCTGAAAAAAAAAAGAAATTGCGGCACGTGATTTGTAAATCGTCTTGCGCTTAACCAGCTTGCAGCATGGGCAAGCCTCGCTTTCTCGCGCATTCCACTTTGGCTGCCATTAATTCTCGCCATATATATATATATATATATATATTCCTGCTCACGGCTGGTTATTTTTTCATCCACTTTTCTTTCTTCTTATTTACATTCCATTGGTTCTAATAACTTCCCCTGTACATTCCTTGGCATTACTGTCTGTTAGATCTCATTAATATTTTGTTAAAACACGGAAAAACGAGCCCTTAGGTATACACTTCTTTCTCTTTCATATATGTGTATATATATATATATATATATATATATATATATATATATATATATATATATATATGAAAAAGAAGGTGTCCTTGGATCCAGTGGAAAAATACCAAAAAGTGGAGGACGGACAAAACGAAAACTTTTTTAATTTTTCCTACGTTTCAGCCGGGGACCGGCCTTCGTCAGGATCCTGACGAAGGCCGTACCACGGCCGAAACGTAGAGTAAACAACTATCAAATTTTCGTAAGCGTGTTCGTTTATTTCTTAATTATATTTGCACCGGACCCACACACTTTCTTTTTTGAATCACACACACACACACACACACACACACACACACACACACACACACACGCACACGCACACGCACACACACACACACACACACACACACACACACACACACACACACACACACATATATATATATATAATTTGTTGTATGCGAAACTTTGTTATAGATGTATGTTCATTATACTATCAAGTGGCAAAACTACTTTCTATTTTTCACGTTTACTTTATTAAGATCTCAGGTAATTCCCAATATCCGTATGCTTTATGTGGAGCTTCAACTGTACATTACTAGGTGCAGTATGCCTCACGTGGAATTGGTCGCAATTTGTTACTCTCCTATTACGATAATAATCTAATGGCCATTTTCAACCAGTTTTTGCCATCACCTTCATGTCCTGTATAAATCGCACGTTGATAACATCCCCCCGCGCATCGTATGTTGTACCTGCTGATTAAAGTGCGTGAGTGGGGGCGACGAATGTGCCTGAAGCAGAGACCAAACGAGCCAGCCCACCACCTCCATTTATAGGAGTGCGCATGCGATATCACCCCGCGTATGAGAGGCGTGTAGTCGAATGCTGAAAGGAAACGCCGCGCTTGTCTTAAAGGAGCATGGAACAATGCAGGGTAAGGAGGGTGCTTATCTGATTTCAAAGGGGCCCTGCAACACTTTTTGAGCATGGCCAGAAAACGCTGCTCCCGAGAGCACGCTAGCCAAATGTTATAGCACAGCATGTGGCCTGGAATTCACAATAAATTATCAAAGTCAGCTAAAAATTGCTTTCTCTTCCCTCGACAAACGATGGAAGACGCTCAAAAATCACACGTAAATTACCCATCTATCAGCCATGGGCTCATTTGAACATGGCGCACTCGGTTGTTACAGAGATCGCTGCGAGGGGCCGTCACTTGTCTACGCGCGCGCGCTCTATCGCACAGAAAAAGCCGCGTATTCGAAAAAAAAGGTGCTCAAGGTCACGAGGCGCGCGTGACGTTTTTTGTTTGCCCCTCCCATCCCTCCCTGCTTAGCTTCCAGCACTTTCGTAGGTACGAGAGAAGAGAGAATGCAATTGCAGCGTGTGACAATCTTTGTAACTCCGCTCGTACTGGATGGATTCTTAAAATTTGTGCAGCGTTGAAGTTGTGATTGAATATGCTTTTCTAGTAAATTAATTCCATGGTTAATCAAAAAGTGTTTCGGGACCTTTTTAAGGGTGCGATCACGATAACTTGCGCTCGCTTTATCTCGGCAGGCTTCAGCAGACCGCCTGTATACTCTTCTACAAGCTGTGCTCTCATCAAGAGATTGATTGATTGATTGATTGATATGTAGGGTCTAACGTCCCAAAACAACCATATGATTATGAGAGATGCCGTAGTGGAGGGCACCGGGAATTTAGACCACCTGGGGTTCTTTAACGTGCACCCAAATCTGAGCACACGGGCCTACAACATTTCTGCCTCCATCGGAAATGCAGCCACCGCAGCCGGGATTCGATCTCGCGTCCTGCGAATGTGAAGAGCTTGCGAAATCCACTTATCTCCGTAGACTAGCAGTGTTCTCTTACATAAGCATTTTTTTAAGCTTCAGGAGACTGGTTCTAAAATAGTTAGCTGCCAGCCTTACGCTGGAAAACATTAAATTTGTTGATATCGCATTCATATTTCTCGCATGCAGTAAAACTGATTTTTTTCCCCTCTTGCCAGGGAGCTGCCACAGTGTTCGACATGATCGAGTACTACGAGTCGGCACGGAAGCTCAACATCTCGCACAACCGCAACATCGACTGCCGGGGCTGGCAAGCATGCTCAAGAATGCTCAAGAAGGTGAGCAAAACTTGTATCTTACTGAGCCGGTAGGCAGCTTCATCCTGCTCTGCGTCATAATCCAAGTCGGCATCAGAGCGCGCATATCACATTCAGCCAACCACAAATGAAGCATTATAATGGTTTTCACAACTGAATCTCATTTTAGTGACGTTGAATCATGCATTATCACTCTTCCTAGACTTCTGAAAAACATTTAACAACGTTTCTCATAAGCAGTTTTTTTTAGAACTTTCGCGTTTAACCTTTACCCACTTGTTCCTAAATGCATACGCGACTTTCTGTCTAAGCACCAACAAGGCATTCATGCTAAGAGATGCTCCCCACTTTTATCACTTTTCTCTGTATTGTCACAGGGAACTTTTAGGGGCAAAGCTCTTTAGGTTGTGAGTCTGTCCATCCTTTGTTGGTGTATGTAGCCACCAGTGGCACATACCCGTTGTAGAGTGGGTATGGGCCACAGGGGAGGCAAGATGGGAGTTGGCGGTACTTAGAATGGTTACTAGATGGACGCACGGACAGAGGGACAGACAGACTAGCAGATGGCCGGACAGATGGATGGACGGATGGACGAACGCACGGAGCGGATATGTGCCGCAGGGGATGCGAGATGGCAGAATGTGGAGTGTTCACTAGATGGACGCACGGATGGACGGATTGACAGACTAGAAGATGGGCGGACATATGGACGGATGCACGGATGGGTGGGAGCATGAACGGATGGACATACGGACGCATGGACAGACGGTTGGACGCATGGATGGATGCAGGGATGGTCGTGCAGACGGACAGAAGCAAGAACGAATGGATGGAAGAAAGCACAGACGAGCTGACGGATGCTTTGCCCCACTCATCATCATTAACTTTGTGGATATGCTGCGATTTTTTTTATTCATGCTTTTGGTATGTGAATTTTCACATGGGCAAATGTTGCACTATGGCCACTAGTCACAAAAATGTGCCATTCTGCTCACCGACAGCAAATACAGGTTGGCTGTGTAAACTTCCATGCAATATTTGCCTCTGTAGTAGTTTGACATAGTACTGTGGCTCCTAATCATGTGTGAAATGTCAAGTGTTCAAGTGAATTTTATTGTGCACTGTAGTGGTGCCTCCACATGTTCTTATGTGAACCCTTTTGGCAGTTCGAGAGTAAATATACGAAACTCTAAATCTATACCAAATAAAAAAAATTATATGGAAGCTAACGGTTGTTTATGCGATTCATGACAATACCTGTCTGTTTATGGTTTACCTGTAGTTGCTTGGTGACATCGTGTGAATAAGAGTATTTCTGACTACATAAAACTTGCCATCATTTAAAGGTGATTCATTTGAAAGTCATTTACCCGTGTATTCTCCGAATCTCTTTTTAACTCGAGGGAATTCATCTTTAACTTTCTCTCTCATAGTTTCAGTAAAATAAATAAATGGACTGTAATTCTATTTCATGAAAGGAGCTATCAAAGAAGTGTCACATCATTGTATATGCTAGATACAACCTTAATGACAATCAACAGACAATTAAGCTAAGCTAAGTTTAGGCGAAATTATTTTTAATATTTATGGTATAAACGTACAGAAATTAGAACGAAAAGACAACTTGCCGTTGGCAAGGACAAAACCTGCAAGCAGCAAATAATGCGTTCAGTGTGTTACCAATCGAACTACAGTGGCAGCCAACCAACCATCCACTTTATTGGATATAGTGGACTTATATGTGGTAGTGTTGTTCAGTGTTGACCATGTAGCTATGATGGCGAGTGTGAAACACTTTTTACAGCTAAAGCTGTTATGGTATCACAACAAGAGTCACGCGCAGCACCCTTGTTGTCCGCCGCCGCCGGTGTTTGTAATCGCATGAAATAACAAAAAAAAAACTCGAATAAAAAAAACACCGAGGACATGTGGTAACATAGTGAGATTAGAAGTAAGGTCCATTGCATGCCAGCCCAGTATTCTACCACTGAGCCATGCCAATTTTTTTTTTTTTTAATGCTTTGGACTTGTACACAAACTTGCCTTAGGCAGGCTTGATGTCGGGCAAGGAATTGTGTTAATATAAGTAATAAAGCATTTTAAAACTGCAAAGAAACAACTAGGTGTCACACAATGTGAATTGCGTAACGAGTGGGTTGTCCAATGCTCCAACACATTACAAAAGCTTGTTCTTCATCACCTATTAACTGTGGCACATACCCACTGAAGGCGTAATTCTTTATCATCGTCAGCCACTGAATTCAATGCAAGATTTGTTAGAAGTGTTTAGCAAATACCACGCTTCTCCAAAGAATTACGAAGGATAGCATAGTGAATCCTCGCCGACTAGACAGAAATTATTATTATTTATGACCTAGTGGACACTCAGCAAGCGTGCTTGTAGCAGTTACCCAAAGAGTGTTCAGAAAAGGCTCTGAAAGGCCGCTCTTCCCGCTTTCACTGTCACTGTGCTGCACCTTCAACACAGACCTGGTATTTTTTTGCCTGCTGGTGTCATTGAGATTGTGTTCAACAACAAAAAAAAAGAGCCCTGAAAATTTCTCTGTTTTCATTCATTACTGCCACTCGTACTTAGCTAAACACAAGCTAATAATTTCTCATCGCCGCATTCTCCGCAGACTCCCTGCTTGCAGCACCTGGACGCCAGAGGCACAGCACTGAGCGAGCAGACCCTGCTCGTCCTCGGACGGGCGCTCAGGCTCGGCTCGCACCTCAACTCCCTGCACCTCGAGAACTGCTCCCTCACGGGCCGTTCGCTCGTCATTTTAGGTCAGTACTCCTGGTCTGTATGGCTGTGAGCACCCGAGCCGCACCTGTCGCTACTGCTTCATACCTCTGACCTCTTTTGTGTAACGCTGTAGTGCCGAAAGTTGGGTGAGCTGGTTGCTATTCACAGTGATGTTCCAGTGCGCGCGAGGGACAAGTATACGCATTAAGCACTCATTTGTTTTCGACACTGCGTCTTTGTGGGTTGTGAACGCTGAAAGATCACCGTGAAGTGTGTAATTCGGCTCATGGGAACTGATTGCCTTTATCGAAATATGCCACAATGTTTCTGAATGGTGACCCTAGAGAAAGAAATGAACGAGAAGTGATACACCTTTCGGAGTTCTTCAGGAGTCCTGCCTCGAGGTTTGCACTAGATGTTGATGATAGTCATGACATGAACTCTTTGATCAGTAGAAGTACGAAAGAAGGGGAATGGACCAAGAGGCTCGTTTCTTTGTTAGACAGAATCTACTGAAACCAACAGACAAGTCAGTTGGCTTGATTTGGTAAGCTTAGATATAGAGAGACATGTTATATTTGAAGAGTGTTGATACGTTGTTTGTAAAGGGGGGGGGGGTAACCTTACTCAGTTGATCCTGTTGCATCATAGCTTAAGCGCTAGGTTATGACCACGCTTGTTTTTGACGACAACGATGGCTGAAGACCAGTGATGTTGCGTTCCAAGAGCTGTGCATTTCCATCTGTTACACCTAAGAAGCAGACGACCAAAGGCAGGCCGTTTTGCAAAAAGAGTCGTTGCCTAATTTTCGTTTCTGAATCTGTTGTGAATTCAGACTCGGCCAGTTAAGGGTGAAGCGGACACTGGAAAGTACTTTAAATTAAATTTATTGACTTAAAACTGTTGATACAAATACACTGACGTGAGAAACTCATCTGAACTTGTAATCGAAGGCTAGTTAGAGCTCATTCAACAATAAGAAAAAGGACATGTCACATATCAAAAATAGTATACTAAAGAGTACTTACTAAATGTTATATATCGCTTCACAAGCTACTTAGAACATTATATACAGTACTAACGAATCAAAACAAAACAATTTAGGGTTTAGTAACCCACATACTTTCGTCTCCATCATCTTCAGTTCAGGTCATATCGTCCTTATTTCTGCTCGAAGTCATATAGCTGAGCCCACGTTATCTTTAAAGACCAGCTTCACCACAACATGATCTCGAACAATTGCGAATATCATTCTATATACTAAAGACTTTGATGTCTCACTTGAATTCGTGAGTCTCTCCTACCCTAATGGAAAATAAATGGACAGCCCTGCAGGCATCATGTTTGGTTCGACTGCATTTAGTTTGCCCCTTACCAAAAACTGCACATGTTATCTCACTGAACTCTTCAAAGAACAAGTGAAGGTCGTGGTGGCAAGTGTGGCTAAATCGCTTGCTTTCGTGTTTCCCTCCACAGTGGCAGCACTGAAGCTGAACCCAGCTCTGAAAGAGCTCTACCTCGGCGACAATGGGATGTCGTGTGCCGACGGTCTGCAGCTGGCAAACTTGCTGCGGGCCAACACGCGCCTGGAGTACCTCGACTTGCGTGGGAATAGTCTGCAAGTGAGTGTATATACTGCATGTACTGGCCAGGGCTCGTGCGCAGATTGTGTGCCCCTGTCACAAAAACAGCGGGCCTGTGTGAATATGCATCAAAGCCACAACAAAAGCTCGAGGAGCGGCTTCCCTATAAACCCTTGTAAACTCTCTTGCAAGGAGTGCTACAAGCACTGTTCTAAGGTACCCACCATGCCATAAGTCATCATTAAATTTGGAAGTAGGGGAGTACCCACTGTGACATTATTAATCATTCTGCAAAGAAGCGAGGTACCTGCAACACATCTGTTAGTCATTTTGTGCACTTGATTGATGCTGGGGCTGAAGAGAATAAAAAATTAGGGCTGATACCCTTCGTAATAAGTGGTAATTCGAAGCTTCAAACCGTCCACCTGTGACATAATTTACATTGACGCCCAGTTCTTACTTTACTCACACTATATGCCTCCGTTGACGTGACTCACTGCCCGACGTGACACCTGTGTACCGTCTTTCTGCAGTAGTTTCAAGCACTGGCATGGCTCATTGGTAGAACACTCAACTGTCATACAAAGACCGGGGGTTCAACGCCCACTCAACTCTGGATATTGTTTTCTCATGCACGATAGCAATACGGACATCAGCAGCGATGGCGGCAGATAACTATGGCAGCGAAATCAGGTGGTGCTGTGGTCTCGTAACAGTTTTCGCTGTTATAAACATGCCTAGTTTGCTTTGCCGTCTCGGTAACATTCACAAATCACTGTATGAAACTTGCGCTTGTCATAAAGAAGACTGAAAGAAAAAGAGAAACCTTATTGCTTTGTTTAAACAAGACATACTGTGTTGCAATACCACGCACCAAGAGGACAATGCTCGTGTTTTCTGTGTTTGGTAACAAGTGAGCTATCTTGAACACATATCCAATACTCATTTGCCTGATAGTACTCTAAGGTCTAGTTATCACATGGAAATCAAGGGTTATTTACGCATTTCATTAAATACTTTCATTGTGCGTGTTCATTTAGTCTCACAGCATTAAAACCCATGCCCTAAGACACGCATGCGCTGTATGGGCCACGCTGGCTTTTCATTACATCAGCACACATGTGCGAAACATTGAATGTCGTGGGTGGTTTTACGATAAGTACAACGAACACTATGGCCAATCAAGACATTGAGCCCTCTTCAGCAGTACATCATGTTGGTTGCATACTGATATTGTAGAGGCACTGTTTCAAAAGTGGAGCATTTTAATGTTGAGGTTAGTGGAAAGTCCCTGTGGAATGTGAAGAAGCTCCCAGCAGGCATTTGCCACAGTCATAAATCCACTACTAACCTCTGGTTGAATAAAAAAAAGGAAGCTCTAATGAAAATATTTGGCCACAACTGATGTCATGCACTCTCTGTAATATATATGTATATAGATTGTGTTCTAGGCAAAGGGCAAGCAGAGCAAGGAAATGCAAACGGTTGATGTTTCATTCAGGACACTCGCTGTGCTTTCTAGAATTTCACACAATATGTGCAAATAGCGACGCTGTCGGGGAGAGTCAATAGGCAAGCAGGCCCCTTCGTGAATTGTGCTGGCCTCTGTCACAATATAGAGCAGCTATGTGTTACATGCGTGGCAAGTAACGTTATGTGGCTTTGGATAGGAAAACTGAGCTTTCATGTTGGCAGATGGCGGAAGAACTTTTATAGAGCAAAGTGAAACAATCAAGTAGCAGTATGAGCTCGCCGCGGTGGTCTAGCGGCTAAGGTACTCGGCTGCTGACCCGCAGGTCGTGGGATCGTATCCTGGCTTCGGTGGCTGCACTTTCGATGGAGGCAGACATGCTGTAAACCCGTGTGCTCAGATTTGGGTGCCAGTAAAAAAACCCAGGTGGTCGAAATTTCCGATGCCCTCGACTACGGCGTCTGTCATAATCACATGGTGGTTTTAGGACGTTACACCCCACATATCAAATATCAGTGTTGCCACCAGATCTGCTGCTTTTGCTACATTGGTTCGGCGAAGCTGCTTGAACTTCTAAACAGCAAGGCTGTCTAAGCCAGCTGTGAAATGTCGACTCCGTTGCAAACCATCGTCATAAGCAGGTATGTGCCACAGAATTTTGACAAGTCTCAGTACATCGCCTCTACAGCGTGGTCTGTGATAAGTTGATCTTTGATGGATGAGAGAATGAGTGCAGAGAGAAATTGGGAGACAAAGAAACAAACAGACTGAAAGAAAGACAAAAATAGAGAAATTCTTGCAAAAAAAAAGTTATCGACCACATGGAATCGGAACCAGTGTATTCTTGATGGAAAGGCAAGTGCTCTGATCAATCGGCCATCCAGGCGCTCTGCACAGTGTAGCGTAGCTTTGTATGGTATAGAGTAGCAAGAAGGTGGGAGAGGGAAGTGAGTGAGAGGAGATACGTGATGGTGCTGGGGGAGAGAATAAAGTGTAGCACAAAAAAAATGTCTTAACAAAAGAGAGAAAGTCTGGAAGAAATGTAGATTGGCAGATGAAGCATGAAGTGAATGCTGATGATGGAGAGAAGCTAGGTTATAAGGTTCATAATGTCGACGTTGAAGTGGTCGGCCAGTATATAAAAGAAAGCATGGATGGACGTATAGATGCGCGGGTGGGTGCACGGGCATACAGATGGACACAAAGAGTACAATCTCTTCTTAAACCATATGCACATAATGAATGCTCTTTGTACAGTATACGTAACATCTGTGTTTCGGTCCAGTGAGGACCTACGACGACGATGACAATGGACATCATGCAAGCCTAAGGAGCTTCGCTCCTAAAAGGAAAAGAGATACGGAGAAAAGAACATCAAAAAAAGAGAGAAAAAGAAGTAGAGAGAGAGAAAAAAAAGTGAAATAAAGAGGAACCAAGCAAGCCGCATTCATCGATGGAGACATCGCGCACAACCTTCGCGCCATAGCACGTGGCCTGTCTGCACCTACTCGTGTACATCGAGTTGCGGGTCATCCTAAGAAAGTGCATATTTTCTAGGAGGAAGCCGCACATCCGGATGATAGACATGTCAGTCGACGAAGAGTACGAGCAGCAACGGGCCTGCGCTTCGCTGTGCCGAGCTTTGTGCGACATAGTGCAAACATTAAAATATTTTTTTAGGTTCAGTATATCTCGAATGGTAATTCGTCACGTCTGTGTTTCGTATGTCGGTGTCTGACCGCACTTCCATTCTTGCAGGACATTGGCGTATCGCATCTATCGGACGGAATAGCGCAGCAGCCCGACAGCGCCGACAAGGGGCTCAAGACTCTGGTGCTCTGGAACAACGGCATTTCGCCGGCAGGCATGAGGCACATCTCGCGGGCCCTGGTGAGCACCACAAACACATATGATTTACCTTGTCAGTTCCAAAACATCAGCAACAACAGAACTTCGGAAATTTGTAGCTCAGTTAAACGGAAGCTGGAGAAGCGGTCTTTCTGGGGCCCCCTATCAACTCTTCTGGGGCAAATGCTACAAGTCCTGTAATAACTTTTTCATAAATCATCATAATTTTCAAAGTAGGGAACTACTTACTATGCCAATAATCATCGTTACACTGAAAAGCGAGCTAGTCAATACACATCTAGCTGTTAGGCGTGCTATGTGCTCGTTGTTGAGGCTGTGGCTGATGATGATGAAGACTTATGGTTGAACCTTTTATCATTGTGGCTGCTAATCGACCCACTTGTTACGTAAGTTGCATCGTGTGGTACCTGGTCTTTTTTTATCTTTTAACCATGCTATATTACATCTGTTGCTGCGATTCCTCGCCCAACATGATGTCTGCATAAAGAATTCTTGCAAAGGAGTCTGACAAACTGGTGTGGCTCTGTGGTAGTATACTAGACTGTCGTGCACAGGGCCTGTTGTTAGATCCCACTCACTGGTGGACATTGTTCCTCGTTGCGCACGGTAGCAGTAACAGATACCGGCAGCAGTTGAGGCAGGCGACTAAGCCGCCAAAATTGGCTGTTGTGGGCTCATAAGAGCTTTTGTTCTTATGAGACACGACTAAGAAAGAAAATAAGCTTAGGACATATGTCTGTTCTCCTTCGTGATCCTGTATTTTGCACTGTTCAAACCCATACATTTCAACCAACCCGCCCAGCCAGCTATCTTACTTCCGCATCATTTTTTAGCTTAAAATGAACATAAACGAAGGTGATTTCTCATTAAATTTCTAGCCTGATATTTACTTTTATTGAAGCAAAAATATAACATGAATGATTTCAGGATCTGGTCATTTTTGTTACGGTTGTGTGAAACAAACATGAGCCCCCAGAATTCTGTTACTTCATTCCATTGATTAATTCATGATGAATAGATGTTCAATTACACTTTCATTCAGATTAATTATTACCAAATATTAAAAATGATATATTATGGCATTATTTTTGTTGCAATGAAATATGGAGTGTCTTGAAGTAATGTGTAAGTTTGACTCAGTTTAATGACCGTTCTTAATGAAAGGCATCTGAAAGTGTTAAAAAGAAAGCTTCTTCTATTTCACGTGCTACTTTTTCTTTCAACACAGGAATTTGGCTTCTGCAAATGACAGGCCCCGCCGCGGTGGTCTAGTGGCTAAGGTACTCGGCTGCTGACCCGCAGGGCGCGGGTTCGAATCCCGGCTGCGGCGGCTGCATTTCCGATGGAGGCGGAAATGTTGTAGGCCCGTGTGCTCAGATTTGGGTGCACGTTAAAGAACCCCAGGTGGTCTAAATTTCCGGAGCCCTCCACTACGGCGTCTCTCATAATCATATAGTGGTTTTGGGACGTTAAACCCCACATATCAATCAATCAATCTGCAAATGACAGTGCTGGTTTTTGTTATGTTCATTTGTATTCAAGTGTCTCTTGTCTAATGTTTCTTTATTGCGTTAGCATCTATTTCGCGCATCAATGCTTCAAGACGAATTACCAACTCACTTGATGGTTTGTCCTTCGCATCCCACTATGGGCAGAAGGCGGCAGATATTGCGTGTTTTTCAGAGCCAGACGTGTCGCCCTCTTCACACAGGTTGCCACGAAGTCCCTGATTACCCTCAACTTGGGTCACAACGCTATCGGGGACGACGGCTTGCTCATTCTGCGCGAGGCGCTCATGCGCAACAAGTCCGTCTGCAACCTGGGCCTGCAGAACACGAAGATAACGTGTGAAGGTTTGTCCTCTTATCACTTTGGCAGCATATGCCTGTACACGTGCCGGGCATATGCCACGTGCATGACAGGCACTTGTGCATACACGTGCCACATGTGTAGGGGCGCATCAGGGTCGTGCCACGTGTGCATGCAATGACGAGAGCAACTCTAAGAAGGCAGTGGCATTTCCACTACAAAGGCGGGGGCACAAAAGTCTGCGCCAATGACCTCGTACATCGAGAGTGATGTCATAGGGCCGATCCATAAGGTAATGAGATTCGGTCTTGTAAAAAGAATTTACTCGTTCGATCGGTGCATGCTATTCAAGTTTTTGACAATATACTTTCCTTAGGCATCACATACTGTTTACGGCACGATTCCCATGCTGCAAAGGTTTTCTGTAAAGTCGGCTGCCGTCACCCCTTTTGGAGACTGTGACAGCTGATCGGATGGCAGGAACATTGTTAAAGTGTTGACCTTTCAGGTTTCTCCAGAGATTTGGGAGTCTGTCAGTATTATATGAGGGCTTTGTCAGCACTAGATCAGCCCTGATGTAAGCCCAGTAGACTTCTTGTGGTTCTCAACGCTTAAGAGTAGCCTGAAAAGCCACAATTTCGATGGTGTGCCATCACAACCAGTGTGCCAGGATTTCTCCAAAAGAAATTATGGCAGCTGACAATCAGAGAAGGAGGTCTTTGCAGGGTTTGAATCTCATCGTATTCGGCATATCAATGCCCAAGAAAACCTTTTTTCAGGAATTTAGGTAATTTGTACTGATGCGATCAATAAACACTTCTTACGAGCCCCAGCCTCACTGCTATACACACAGACCTTGTGAGCTGCGTGGTCAATGACCCCGTCATTTGAGAAAAGTGCCAAGAACAAAGGTGGAACTGCAGGTGAACCCCTATATAAGAGGCATGCTGCTGGCAGAAGCTCTTGACATTTATATGAGATGTCTTTTATAAGCAAAATACCATCTATGCATTTTCTTATCTACCCATACTTTATTACTGCTGGCCCACTGGCATCTCTTATGCCAATTTGTCTCTTACATCAGCATCTCTTAAGTTAAAGAAGTTCGACTGCTTTAGCAGAGTGTGACGTTGTGCGAGTTGGTGCATAGCTTAATAAATTGATGGTGGCGCAACAGATATTAGCAAGGAAAAAAGAAGGAGACGAGCTAGACAGCCAGACTTTCAACTCGTTTGTTTTCCTCGCATCACCCAAATATACATGCTTCCAGTATGCGCACAAGGAGAGGGTGCAGCACAAGTGACTATCACTTTGCACACACAGAAAGCTATCGCACAGCACTATCTAGAAACAGGTATTCTTTCTTGTACAAAGTGATCGACGCAACACTGACTCATTCGTTTTCCTTCCTTTGTATGTGGTATGCCTCCAGTACTTCACGTGCTAACGTTTCCCTGATTTGTCCTAACACACGTGTCTCTCGGAATAGTGGTGCGCAGCCGCACGAAGCACAATGTAACGGCAGGTGTGAACCCACACCATTCTTCAATAAGATATGCTCCCTAAGGCGATCATTAACGCAGCGTCCTGTTTGGCCTATGTACACCTTGCCACAGCTCAACGGAATTAATTAAATAACGCCCGGTATGCGACACAGAACTGGCCGGGCGCGCTTCTTTTCGGATGAAAGGTTAGCTTTCTGCGAACAAATGCGGGCACAGAGCTTCGACAGCTTGTTGGGTGCGGAGAAAACTACTTGATCATCATGCCTGTTTGCAACTTTCTTCAAATTGTGGGCAATTTTGTGCATGTAAGGCAGAACCAGTGGCTCCTTTTTTCGCACAGCCTCGGGGTGTCTGCTGCATCCTTTAAGCTTCCAAAGCAGAGGTTCAGACACACTGGTGAAGACCGCCGAAGGTGAACCAGCTGCAACCAGCCTTGAAATCTGTTCCTGAAAACTGTTGTCCATGGTGTGCTTGTACGAGTTGAACAACGCAGATCGAAGACACATTGTTGCAATGGCTCTTTTTTACAGTTTTCAAGTGTGCTGATTCGTAAGGCAGGAGGTCTTTGCGTCACGGGGGCTGGACATTCAGCACGAATGTGTAGCGTTTAATGACAACTCTATGTCTAAAAACTGCAAGTGATTGTCTTGAGGTAGCCAACTCAAGACAATCATTTGCAGTTTTTAGACATCAACCAGTCATTTAATGCTGAGAGACATGTGTGTTAGGACAAATCAGGGAAACGTTAGCATGTGAAGTACTGGAGGCATACCACATACAAAGGAAGGAAAACGAATGAGTCAGTGTTGCGTCGATCACTTTGTACAAGAAAGAATACCTGTTTATAGATAGCGCTGTGGGATAGCTTTCTGTGTGTGCAAAGTGATAGTCGCTTGTGCTACGCCCTCTCCTTGTGCGCATTGTTAAGGTCTGTGTCGAAGGAGTGCGTTCCTGATGATGGCATCCCACCGCTGCCACCAGTTGTTGCGGGTCAGAAGGAGGAAGGAGGAAGTTGCTGATGGCATCCCACCGCTGCCACCAGTTGTTGCAAATGGGTGTCTACCCGGTCTCCTGTGGTAGCGTGGTGTAACCGGGTGGAGGAACTGAACGCTGATAAGAAAAAGATACGAAAACAAACAGGTTTATGGAACTATTTACTCATATTTACAGCAAAGAAAGGTTAGGGGTTTCCCAAACCACGAGCGTGGTGGTTGAACGTTACATAGTTCAGAGCTACGTGCAGCACTCAGCGGCGTCGTTTTAAGCCCTGTCGGGCTCTTCCTCTCCGAGTGGAACACCGATCACACACACACAACAGGTGAGGGGGATGAGCATGCACGGTCCACGTGAATGTCCAATATTGAGTCGTGATCACTGCACTGCAAGGTGGTGCCAGTGGGGCTCTTCCTCATCGTGTGTGTGCCGCTAGTCGAGAGGTCCCACGATCCTGACAGCATACATCAAAGGGTCTGCTGCACAGCTCGCCTAATTAGCGGGGTGATTTGCGGTGGCCGCCGCGGTCTCTTCCAGGAAGATGCTGTCATTGTTGTCCTTTCTCGAACGGTCAACGGCGTCTTGGCGACACGACGTCTCATCCTCCGGCTAGCAGGGACAATGCCTGGCCATAGGCAGCTGGCCAGTCGTCTACTTGATTGAGGATTAAAAGGAGCGCCGCTCTCTTGTCAGCTCTGGCGCCGGTCAATCAGCTTCCCCGTCGCCAGATGAGTTGCCAAGGTCATCAGGCACCGCCGCTGTTCGAAGGGACGATGAAAGGGTCCGCATTTGAAAGTCGGGAACTCACCTTTGCTTGCCGCATGGTCTGGATAATTGCTCAAATCTTCGACAGCGTCTGGCAGACTGGGCGCCGAAGGGATTGAGAGCCTCCCCAGTAGACCGGCTCACACACAATGGCGTCTGCCCATATGAATTTCCAGGCCAAACTTAACAGCATACTGGAAGCATATAGTATATTCGGGTGATGCGAGGAAAATAAACGAGCTAAAAGTCTGGCACTCTCTCCTGTCTCCTTTTTTCCTTGGTAATATCTGTTGCACCACCATTATTTTATTAAATTAGACTGTATTTCTTTGAGTGGAGAGGCAATTGACTGCAGCAGTTCTATCATCTTCTGCGTTTTTAAGTTAGCTGAGTTCAGAGTTTGGTTTTTGAGGTGCTCACAAATAAAATACAAAGAAAAAACACAGAGGTATGCATGTGCTCGCCCTCGGCCCAAATTAATTTGAGAAAACAAGAAAAAACCCAGGCCATGGTCCGTAACACGTGAACACCTGCAGGTGCAGTTTGCTTCCAGGCAAAAAAAAAAAAAAATCGTTGAATCTTCCACTAAGCCAAGCACGTCCTGAGGCAGTGAAACTGGACAATTCCGAAAACTAATCTGGTTGATTCTAGGTTGTTTCTAGGCCTTAGCTAGGTGATGCTAGATTGCTTCTATCTGGATTCACAACAGAGAGGTTTGAGCTAAACCACAGACAGTCACAGACATGACACAGGCACATTGTTGCTGACGTAGGCCTTTCATCACTTCGCGGTCTTCTCACAGCCACAGCTGCATTTCTCGTTCCCTATAATATTCTCTCGTTTTACGTATTCAAGGTCTTCGGCTCGCTGGTATCGCTTCCCGGGCCATTTGTCGTTGGTCGCACTGTTGCCTTCTTCCTTTTTGGTGGTAGTCATGAGTAGTTAGATTCAATTGATTTCAGTGGCGCATTCCCGTTTATGATCGCGGCAGTTTTCAGATATCAGGCCATATTTCTTTGCATTAAATTTGTTTGACCTCGGAGTTGCTTACTGGCCCTTTAATTGCGGGTGCTTCAAGCAAGGTGACACAACCATTTAGAAGGTTTTACGTTTTTACATGATTTTTTTTACTGTGTGTAATGGTATTCCAGCAGTGCTAGCATTGATTATTTGAGCATTTATATAGCTGTAGGGCAGTGATGGTTCATCCACTTCTAAGGTTCACAAGAGCTCCTTGTCAAAGTGGTGCTGAATCTGCATGTGGGCTGTACATCTATATTTTCGCTACCCTTACTTCTGTAGTGGCTTTGGACACTTTGCTATGTGGAGTCGCACTGTGAAGCTAAAAAATTGTATTCAAGTATCCTCACTGCTTGAAGTATGTGCTCTCAAATGTGGCATTCTTTTCGTTGGCTGTTTTTCCAATCTTTTGTGTCCAGAGAGGTGCCTGGCCTTAATCGCATGCCTTCTTTCTACTCGCAGCACCCTTTACAGTTGAATCCCTTCATAAGTGCCCTATGGAACAGTTCTTGTCCCTTTTCTGAGGGGTCTCTCTCAGGTGACAACCTGAGAAACAGATGCGAGCTCTCTCTCCGCAGAATTGCAGCACCTGCTCTTCACCTGTGAAAGACAGTCATGCTAGCTGGTTTGTTTTCAATCGAGTCACAGATACTTTTTCTTGGCTAATGTAAATGCTATGCGTATTAAGAACATTTTGCGGGTGTGCTGCAGGTGCCATTGCCTTGGCAGAGTTTATCGCCGACAGCCAGATCATTGCGAGGTTGGACCTGCGGGAGAACAAGATCGAAGTTGGCGGCCTCATGGCACTGGCTCAGTCGCTGAAGCTCAGCAAGAGCGTCACGCGGCTAGACCTGGACCAAGTCAAAGCCGAAAACGTAAACTCCATTAATTTGCATATTTCTGTGGCATTTGAAACCTGGAAGCTTGCAGAGAAGGTTCAACATAAATTGAAGGCGATGCAGAAAGCAAAAGAAAGGAAAATGATAGGTGTAACCTCAAGAGACAAAAAGAGGGCACAGCAGATCAAAGAACAAATGATTGGTAAGGACAGCTTTGCCGAAATCAAGAAGAAATCGACATGGGCAGGGCATGCAGCTCGTAAGCAATTGATGACCGCTGGTCATTAAGAGTAACTTACTGGATTCCAAGAGAAGACAGTTAAGCACGCTAGGGGTAGGCAGATGAGACTGTAGACGTTTGCGGGGATAGTGTGGCAGCAGCAAGCACAAGACCGGGTTGACTGGCAGAATATGGTAGAGGCCTTTGCCCTGCAGTGGGCAGTCAGGTCGATGATGATGATGATGATAATGTTTAAAATATGGCGCAATACTCGTTTTTAGCTTTATGTCATGTCAGCGAAGGCATGTGCTGAAGATTGGCAGGGATGGCGCTGATTTGTTTGTAACAGCCTAGTCAAGTTTTTGTCGACACTTCTCCCTGTGCGGGCACTCGTACAACATCACCCTCAAGTTATCAGTGTTTAAATGTCACAGATGCAGTACTTGCCCATAGCTTCTGATGGTTGTATGCATGGAAACTGAGGGAAGGAACTAGGAAAATAAAATACACGCATGGATACATACTGGTAAGCATTTAGCTTTGGCTCACTTAAAACACAGCAAGAACGACATGCAGCTACATGTCAACAGAAGCAGTTTGTATCATCCATAATGAGCATTTAGGATGAATGTCATATGGTGCAAAAAAAAATTGGCATAAATGAAAATAGAAAAAAGAATGTCAAGAACAGTACATTAAATTTTTCATTTGAAAAATTGAGCACAGTGCCATTGCAAGCAACATTGTTTGGGGCACGTAGCTTCATAAACTAAATCCACAGCCTTGTGATCCACAATGTTCTGCTGATAAAATATTCCACAAAGCCATTGTTCCTGGGCAGAAGGCATATTTGAAGAGACCTAGTGATGTGCCGTCGTACTTCAAATTGACAGTCCAGACTGATATGATAAAATAGGAGAACACGAAAAATGTAGACACTGTGGAGAGAACGTAGAGAAACAGGATGAACCCCGACTCGAACTAAATTTACTAACAGAAGATGTGTATTGCGTATAAAGCTGGAACATGCCATAGGGGGAAAATATCAACTATGCATTACAAAGCAAAAGCTATTGAAAAGTACTATACTATCAAGAAATGGCACTTCTTGTGAGGTTGCTGCAATTGAGGCCTGACTTATGCTTTGCTGGCCCTTTATGCTCAGTATGTGCTGCCTTTACCCCCATTCTTAACAGCAAATCTTTATGATCAGTATACCAAATTGTTGTTTTTTGTAACTTTGGCGAGTATTTGCACTGGGTGCAATGGGGAGACAGTAGCACATACATGTTATTCTTCAGAGACAACAGATTCTCTCTAGGTCGTTGACACAGTGGCTCTTCTACAAACTGATACTAGTCTGGTTGATTGAGTATAATGTGAAGCATTATTACTGTTTTCTTTGTTCTCAATTCAACACCAGAAAGCGAAACATGCAGTTCCATCAGGGGTGCCCCTGCGAACTCCTTACCATGGCAGTTAAATCCTGACACTGAATTCTTTCATAAAATTGTTTCTTTCAGTTCAACATCCTGAAATGCGAATATTGCCATACATATTCGTGTAATGGACATACTCTTTTCCCCCAAAAAATGCGGTAATTAATAATGCAAAAAAAAAATTAGATAGCTTAACCTTTTGCGATTGGCATATGCGTACACTCTTTAACAGCAGCTTTTTTGTTGTGCTTCACTCATCTTTGATAGTTGACAATGCTATCTTTTGCAAGCTGTCCCCACGCCGCCCACGCACTCCGAAAAGTTTTTCACAGTTTTCTTTTCTTACACTCGTTTAACCTTAACGATATGCGCTATGATCTCGTCAGGAGTGTCCACAAGCGTGCGCTGCGATGCTGCATTGCACTTTGCCAACTCCTCAACGACTGCATGACGACCGTGGAAACGACGTTGACATTGCAGCAAGTAACCAACATTGCAGCGAGCTACCACTGATGCATCAAAACAAACCGCCGATAACAAGATTAACGACAAAATAGGGCCGCTGCCTCGCTGTCCACATCAAAGGGGGGGGAGGGAGCGAGCCGACGAGGCTTGGCATAATAAAAAACAGAAAAGAGTCGATGGGCGAGGAGGCGCTACGTGTCCGTTCACAGAACTGCAGCGGTTGAATATAGAAGGTTCGTTTATTGCGCGTGAGAAAAAGGATCCAGGTTTTGTCGACCAAAGTGGGAGGTGTGTAGTCCGCCTTTTCCATGATGCCGCGGCGCATGCGCCCTTCCCAAGCAGAAAAGTTGTGAAATAAATTCTCGTCCAGGAGGCCTTCGTTCTAGCAATGCCACTTCTCCTGGCCCCTACCAAACCCTACTAAAACGCCAGAGGGCAGCACAGGAAAATGGAAAAGACGGATTATGCGAGTGCGTTCATTACAAGAGTAAATACAGTCATTGCTCCTTAAGCTGTTGCAGGGTCTCAAACTCATCTCAGCCGGTGGGTAACAGACACTAAACACAGTCTTTCAAGGACTGGGGCAGTGAGAAACGACAAGGGGTTAGGGGGAGGATTAAGAACATGTCATTAACATTGGCAAACAAAAGAAAGCCTTTTCCATATCTCACAAATGCACGATTTACAAAAGGGATTTCAGTCAGGCATTGAGAAGAATTGAGAAGCATTGATATCAATCTGCAGAATGATTGAAATCTGGACACCGATCCTGAAATATGAAGTTCTTTTTTCACGGTAATGTTTGAACCGATGCTTAGTGCCTGGGTTGCCTCAAAAAAGGAACGCATGAGACCAGTCATGTCTGTGTAGCTCACAGACACCCTTACTACAAATACTATTTTTAAAAGATATAGGTCAAAGGCAGTCATTGCAGGATGGGCCTCTAAAGTAAGGGTCGCGGGCCGCAAGCTTGAGACTTCTGAGATATCCTATGTGTTAATACAGTATACACTTAGCAGTCAGGAACAAGTAAATGCCATAGGTACACTGACCAAATACTTGGCCTTGGCTGATATTCCACGATCTCAGAGGCCATGTGCTGCATCCTGCAGGTCCTGCAGGCATGTGCCTCTACTGGGCATGCCTGAGCCAGAAACAACAGCTGATACAGTTGTCGAACATGATAGCCAAAAGTGCTTAATAGTTCTACCTGATGTTCTCATGAAATATTGGCAGCCGGAGATTCATTAGTCAACCAAGTTAAGTAGCAAGGCATGATAACTGAAAGAAAGCTGAAGGGTTCTTCTTGAGGGGCTGGTTGGTTTAATATATCATACGGGGCACGAATCAGACAAACACAAAGCGAAAGAGATAGTTCGAACACTCGTCCTGTCCTTTAGGTGTTTGCGTTCATTTTGTGTTTAATTTGCACTCCATATATTAGAGCTAGATTAGAATTGATTTTTAAGAGTTGGCTTTTTATATGAGCTCTAATGTCAAAGGGTTCTGTGACTGGCAGTAGTTTGACAATAACCGATCTGTTGTGGGCATGCAACATGTGACATGTACCTATTGTTGGAACGTGCATGCACAGGATGCCAAGGACAGCGTTCAGGACCAGCAAAGGCTCCTCCTGGAGATTGGCGAGCAATGCCGCCGCAACAAGAGGCTCCTTCGGCTGGCCTCGGTGTCCAGCGTCTGCAACGGCATCTCGGGTCCCAACGCCCCTGCCCTGCCAGACCTCGCCAACTCCGCGGTCCTCGCAAATGGCACCATCGTGGCGGCCACCGCTGCAACTACTCAGGTGCGTTGCCTGACGAGATTGCTCGTTTTAAACTGCATCCTGATGTAGAACCGTGAGCAAGCTGGTGGGCATTCATATTTAAACTTGTAGCAGCTGCCGCCACAGATGAAGAACAAGAAGTGTGCAAGTGGATATCGAAACATGGCATCATAGAAGACATGATATTAATGCGAACGAACAGACATTGATGCCAGGGAATATACAGGGGATGTTATTAGGATTAATTTTAATGTAAATCTGAAGAAAGAAAAGTATACGAAAAGCTAACTTTGCACTGGCAGGCACCTCACCTATGTCCTTGGATTAACATGTCTGATGCTCTGCCAACTCGGCTACGGTGACGGTCCTAACCCCGTCCACCTCATGGGGTGTAAAAGTTGGTTTAAATGGGAGAGTGTCAGTCAGCCCCGCTAGTAGCCATGATGGCGAGTGCGAAACACTCTTTGTCTGTCTGTTGGGGTCGTGTAGTACATGGTCTTGCTTGCGCTACCGGCTGCCATGTAGCACCTGGCAGCTGACTTATAAGATCACATGCTACACGACACCAGCTGACAGCCAAAGAGTGTTTCGCACTTGCCGTCATAACTACTAGCGGGGCTGACTGACACTCTCAGGTTTAAATGCACATGTATACGCCATAAAAACATCAGGGGTACGACCTCCACTGTAGCTCAGTTGGTAGAGCGTCGGACTCAACATTCGTAGGTCGCAGGTTCGGCCCTGCTAACAGCAAGTTACCTTTTCGTCCACTTTTATATGTTTACATTTACTTGACAATTACTACTAGTAATAACATCCCCTGTACTTCCCTTGGCGTCATTGTCTGTTAGTGCTCATTAATATTGTGTCTAACAAAGAAAAACGAGCTCTTAAAATGCCGCTTCTTTCTAGCATCATTGAAGGTAGTGCAATTATTTTGCTAAGGAAAGATGCAAAATAGAGAAGCGACTAGCACTTACTTAAACTGAACATTCAATGCGAGATGTTCATGCGTGTATACATACAAAGAAAGCATAAATAAAATAAGAAAGTTTATGGGCCAGACCAATCATAAATCTACCATTTGTATTGAGCGTCTCATCAAGAAAACAAAGTTCTCATGTGGTAAGTGAAATAGATGGCACGCTCACACATTCAGTGTCATCATGTTTGGTTTCAGCTGCTTCAACAACAAAGTGAGCTGATAGTTCTTTGCCATGTTAAACAATGCTCGTGTTATGAGAGCACAGTACACAACCAGTCACTACATAGGACAGCCAGGTGACCATCAGCACATTTTTGTGCCTTGTTATCATGTTCTCTGAGCTGCACAAATACAACATGTGCCCCTTATTACTCGCAATGTTGATCATCTGCCAAGATCTCTATCCAGAGCTTCAACCTACAGCTACAGGTTTAGGAGCGAACATTCATACAAAACTGTGCTTCAGAGAGGGAGAGATATAGCAAGCTTTAATAAAAATTTTGGAGATGTTGGCCTGGTTTATCGCCTAGCTCGCTAGTCAAGGTGTGGGGTGAGGACTCTGAAGTACACAATGATCAAACTTACACATGTAGTCACAAACACACATATACATGTACACAAGAAGGAAATAAAGGAATTTTCAAGGGCTATTTTTTTTGTTAAGTACAATACAAATGAATTATGAACCACAATATGAAAGGTTGTGTTCTGCTTGTTCCTATTTATATATATGCGAGAGTCATCCATAGAGTTTCGATAAGTTGAGTGGACTTCAAAAACTCCAACAATGCTTTTGTGTTGTGCATCAAACAATCTCTGTCCTGCCATGGGCCAAGAAGCTGCCACGACTCAAAGGACAAGCTGCATTAAATATGAAGTGCTGCTTTCAAAATACACTCAAACTTCATCATAACAAAATCGCATCTACCACGAAAATACTTCGTTATATCCGAAAATTTGTTATAAATGATTATTTGTGACACAGTATTCATGGCAAAGCTAGCGGTCGCTTACTTCGTTATAACCTATAGTTCGTTATATTTGAGTTCATTATGTCGAGGTTTGAGTGTATGTCATACTGCATCCTGATGGCAACAGTGACAGAGACCATTTTTCAAGTTTTCCTGAGTGTTAAATGTGGTGTATGTAGGCAAGTTTGACTGCCTGATCGTGCGCTTGAAAATATTTCGTATAGGTGACGTCGATTCTCAGCCGGTGAAAACATTTCAGTTTGCCTAGTTAGTCTTTGTGGCAGATGAAAGCTACACATCAGGTCTGTTCCGTGCAACAATCCGTACCGATTACTCGCACCGCACCACACTGCGTGCTGCATATTCCATGTGAACTGAGACACCAAAATGTCCTTTTTAAAAGGAAAGGGGTGTCAATTTTCTCATGATGCCACGTCACGTGTTAGTCAGGCAGTGGGGTCAAACATTGTACTGCAGTGAGCTGGTAGACACCGCAGTGCTACATTGCGGTGTCGTTTGTGAGCATTATTGCCTAGCTGCCAGATTTTCTAGCTGTACTAGGAGATCTTCCATTCAGATGTACTTGATGTCTGCAAACTAATTATGCATTGGAAAGTGCCACCCTTAAATACGATATTTTACTTGTGACAGTGGACTGATCTTTACAGGCTATCTTTATACACTGCGAAGATGACCACAGAACTCCTTCAGTTTGTGGCAGGAGTATGTTTTTAACAAAAGTGGTTACAATCAAACTACAAGGCAAAGAAATGCAAGGGTGACGGTAACTTTCTTATGAATGCATGCAAATGATCTGTTTTATTCTTTCATAAGAGAACACATAGTCTAACTCCTTTATAAGAGGCATTGATATAAGAGAGGAATGGGTTCGAGAGACACCAGTGCACCTACAATAAAATATGATTTGATAAGAAAACGCTGCTTATCAGACACACCTCATATAAAAGACAAGAATTGCTTTCCGGATCATGCCTCTGATAAAGGGGTTCAGCTGTATATACGCTCACTTTAATTTTCTCGGCACCATTAGGCTAAAATAGGGCCCTGTTCGAACCATCCCCAGAACTATTGTCCTGTGTGTGTGCGTCTCTGTTCGTCCCTTGTCGAAATTTGTGCTGTGCTACTTCACCTGTCATGTGAGAACAAGTATATGCACACAAATTACTAATGCACTGTTCACGTATTCTTTTGAAATAAATGGATCACTAGTGAGAAGTAGGCTGTATTTAAGATGGGAAACATCATTCTTTTGAGCTTCTATTATCCTGCATATCAGTTTACATTGGCAATTGGAAACCAATAGGCACTTTTGGCAGTGCAGTGATATGTTCAAAAATGTCAGCACCAATCTGGAAGCTCTGTATATTGTACACTTATGTCTTATGCTTTGTTCGTCAGTCACATTTCCTTCAACGCAGTGTTGATGCAATACATTTGCGGTACCACATCATCACTGCTCATGTGTAAGCATTGAAGCTTGTATGAATCTCGTATTTCTCATTCCTCTGAAACACGTTTATCGAAAACCCAGGCACGACCGCCGTTCAGCACGAGCCTCTCCGTCAACGCCGTCACGGGTGGCAACGCTGTACCCCCTTCAAGCCCAGGAACAAGCCGGTTCCGTGTCTCCCGCGTCTGCCTGGAGACAGATGGCGAGAATGGACCGGCAGCTGTCCCGGAGAACCCGAACGCCGCGCAGCTCAGCGCCGCTGGCACCGACATCACCTCACCGACCCTGGAGCGTTCCCACAGTGCCCCAGCCTCTGTACCGTCTCGCTTCACTGTGACACCCGTAAACGGCTTCAAACCCGCCGCGGTGTGCATTGAAAAGAAAGAGGAGGAAGCAACACCAGACGTCATAGAGGTGGAGGCACGCGATGGACGCACAAATGGACTCGGACACCAGGAGGTAGGAGCCGAGGACGAGGAGGAAGAGGAGGATGAGGACGACTTTGTAGGGCATGCCGTCTCGAAGCCTGTCACCATTATGGCGCCCGGGCCGTGCCACCGCGGGAGCGCGGACGACTTTGAGGAGGCAGAAGCAGATGACGTGGGAGGGCAGAGAGACGAGGAAGAAGAGGACAAGGACTCGCTCTCAGCGCCGCCCTTGCCGATGCCCGGAAGGACAAGTCCCACCTGGTTCATGTACCCCTCCGTGTCTACATCGGCACAGCCAAGAAATGGGATGGCGGCGCCACCTGCCTCTGGCAACATCGGGGAGCGCAGACGCAAAATCAGCTTCCAGCTGCCAGAGGGCACTACGGGTGAAGGAGGCCGGCTCTTCAACGGCCGCGGCGATCGCCGGATGAGCACGCCCGCCATGCCGGTGTCGAATAGCGCCGCACGCAAGAAGCTCACGGCGCTCAAGTTGTGCAAGAGGCTGGAGAGCCTGGACTTGCGGAGCACGGTGCCGCTGTCGCCGACCCGGCTTTTGGAAGGCTGGGGTGAGTGCCGATATCTCATGACGCTGCTCGAGTCCTGGCTCTGACGGTGGCTGTGTTACGCTAGATATGTCTTTTTATGATGCCGGGTTTCGCAACTTTGTGGTATGGGCAGTGTACACAAAGTTAAACACTTTGTCCACTGTGTAGTCTATTATAAATAGAAACGCAAGTGTGCAATCGTGTGTTCGATCATGTGTGAGCGTGATAGAAAGTGACTGTAAGGGGCGACCACTGTTGTCAGAGGACGTGTGTGCATGGCCAATGCTTTATGAAGGACCTTCTAAGTAAAGGCGAGGAGGATGACTGAGGTGGCATGCTCCATGCACTCTTATGGCACCACTAGGCCCTTTGTGCCCACTGTTCGCTCTTCACATTCATTGTGACTCTGTACACCCGCTCCTTATGAGCACCTTGTGCACAGCTGTGGTATGGTGACAAGGCTGCAACTCACACTTTTTGAAGACACCGTTCTCTTCAACTGCAAGTCGTACCGCAAATACTTACATCGTATGGGCACTTTAGAAAAATACTCATGCAAAGCGATGCGGTAGTGATATTGGTGGCCCCTGATTATGTTGGGCTTGCAGTAACAGTGTGGTGGAACACACTTTTGTGGCTAATGGTTGTGGGCAAGAAGAAGTGTGCTAGTAGATAGTACCGTTCATAGTTGTTAAAGAAGTGTAGATGCCAACAAGAAAAGTGTGCAGCCAGAGAATGCAGAAGTAGTAATTAAATGCTAACATAGTTAGGTAGCTGCAGCATGGCACTGTCTGCTGTAATCACATCCGGAACTTTCATTGGAGGGGCCTTGTATTGCTGTATTAATGTTGTGTTTCACTGTGTGCAGGGCAGTCCTGGTAAACATTGTGACATTTATAAGATATTACAAATATACAATAGACTCTTGTGAAACAGAACCATATGGAGCAGAAAAATGTGGTGGATTGAACAAGAGTTTCGTTTAATGAGAGTTGAACATTGGGGCGATATACGAGTATGGAACCAATAATACTAGGGGCAATTGTTCCAGTTAGGTAGCAGGTCCGCTTAAGAGAGTTCCGTTGGCTGAGAGCATACTGCACAGTGGCGGATCCAGAGGGGGAGGGGGGGCAGTAAGGACAATCGCCCCCCCCAACCTTGTCAGCAACCCCCCTCTTTTCTTCAGTGCTTGCCAATCATCTGCTATGCTCAATTAGGACAAATGAGCAGGACCGATTCGAGCACACATTAACAGTATTTATGCCCTGAGAGAGTTTTTGTGGTAGTAAAAACAAAAAATAATGACCACGCCCCCTTTTTCAGTGTTACTGCAAGCGACCGCCCTGCCCCCCCCCCCCCCTAAAATGAGTGGCTGGATGCGCCCCTGATACTGCTTAGCAAAAAAGTGTGAGCGTGAAAGACGACAGGAAGTGCTGTTGTCTTTCTTCACACTATTTTGCACTATTCATTAGTTTTCAACATAGTGCACCGGCAGGCCCAATTTAAACTTGGTGTGATCAACATTGGTCATCAGAGTGTTGATCAATGTTGGTGCAATACATTTCATTGTGCTGGGCTCATTCACGACATAAGCGAAGATTTCTCTGTATGCTGTGAAACACTTGGTGCAGTGTGATAGTTCACATTCACTTTGTGTTCCTTGCATCTGATTATGTAATGATTACTATACTCTGCCATGTCCTGCTCTTGTTTAGTGCTGGGACCAAACGGTGAATGTATCTACGCCTGCATATTATTATGATTGTCTTTAGTACGGTGTGCCTGCTACGTCTCACACAGTGGGCTGTTGACTGTTTTCATGGCGTATGTACAGGAACTACTAGCACTCTAAGAACGCCACAGTGTGTTTTCACAACCCTCAGAAATCGACTGATTTTGCAGGTATTGAGTAGCCATGTGAGCAACAGGATGACAGATAGCCATCAGTGATTTCTTCACTGTGTTTAGGTTAAATGCAACATTGCAAGGAACGTCAATGACAGCACGATGTGCATCCTTTTTTTTTTTTTTAGTCGGCTTTAACAACTTTGTTTGCAAGTGCATCTGCTCGAAATCACCAACATCAGAGAGTTTTTAAATTCTAGCCTTTCGATCATTTGTTTCAACATCGAGGGGCAAGCTGGTTAACTTTCATGGTTCAACACGCTTCCTATCGTAGCCATTGTTCAGCTCACTAGCGATTGCTGTAACACCTGCTATATAGAAACAATGGTGCAGTAATTTAAAAAAAGGGTTCATGAAATTGCCCAATGTGCATACGCAGTTGGTGGTAGCTAGTGAACACCACTCTGTGCACAAGAATCACCTAAAACTCAGATGTTTTATGGCAGCATACCAGGGCTTTGAAAAAATGCCAGATATTTGTAGCAAATGAGAAGCATAAAATGTCAATTAACACACTTCTTGCAATCTATGGCCGCACGCCTCTCATAGAAAAGGGACCACGCTGTCATTCCCACAACAGCAAGATCACACACTGATTAAATTGAATTCATGCTCTTCCTAACTGATAAAACAGCACAATCACTGCTTGGCTTGCTCCGTGCTACACAACAGTTATCTGTGTTCGCAGTATGGTTCACTAATTCGCATCTAGTACACTTAAAGCTTATTATAATAGTCACATCATAGCTTCCTTGTAGATATACAACAATTTAATATAAGCATTTTTGTTGCAGTGTAATTAGTTACCAATGCAATATGCATATGAATTCTTGTATCTAACCCATTATATTCAATGTAAAGATAAACAATGGGCATGTTTATTTTTTTGCATTTTCTCAGGTGATAAGTGCACAAACCACACCTCTTATCTCTCTCAAGTGCATCATCTACCCACCTACCATTTAGGAAAATAGCTATACTCATGTTTCTTATTACAAGCTTTGACGGCATGCATAAGATTTCTTTAAAATCGAATAAATCAATCATCAACCATCCCTCGGGCTTGGTGAAAAAGCACATCCTGTGGAAAGCAGCCCCTACTTTTGAAAATCTTGCAGTCATGCAAGGCAAGGATCGTTTAGAAGCAGAGCATGAGGTTGTCATTTTCTCAGGCGCCCTCACTCCATACAGTGGCCCGCACTCACACTTATCGCCAGCGCTGGCTGTTTGATGTTGAACAGAAGATAGCGTGCTGTTGGCTAATAGCTGGCATAAATCAAAAGTGGCGTTTAGATCAGACGTGCTTCTTGCCACAGGGTGCCATCACATGTTGACGCTGCGCTTCGTAAAATGCTAACGCTACAAAGTAGCCATGCTTGTGTGCACAACAATCACAACAATCGCTTCTCATCATGCGCTGAAGGTCATGGCGCACGCTGACGTAACTTCTATCACCTGTACCATCTCTTCCTGTGTAGCTTCCGGTGCAACTCGTTAATACGGGAGAAGAGAGAAAGAGCTTACAGCACGCAACAAAGCCTGGCAACTCTGCTTGTTTTTGAGGGATTCGAGAGAGAGATGTATAAAACTTCATTCCATCAAAAGATCAAGGCACGTACATCCCAGGCTCCCTGCCCGACCCCACTGCACTACACTTGTGCGGCATGAACTCGTGGATGGATTCAACAAATTTTTGTGCCAATCTATCGTGAGGCACTGAATCCAGATGCCGAGGCGATTCGATCATTACTTGGAAAAGTGGTTTGTGACTCCTTTAGCAGCCACAATTACTGATCGGAATTCTGTCATTCATTATTCGTGTCTCATCGCATAACTGTGGCACTGCCACCCGTCTCGTTTCTCTTTGTTGTTACTGTGTTTTTTTCTAGTTGTGCTGGCCAGTGTGCGTAATTCTGTGTCGTCGCTTCGTGTTGTCTTATACGTCTGTGTCCTTGTCCATTGCAGCGTTCCCAGAGCCATCTGTGGACTTTAAGTACCCGTCGGAGTGAATGCCTGCACTCGCACCTCACGAACGAAGCGGGCTCAGCACTATCAAAAGGCTGAGCCTCTGCTCCAAAAGGAAGCTGGACTTGCTTGCCAGAGACGATTACGCTTGCTCTCAAGCTACTAATGTTCCTAAGTATTCAAAGCAAGATATTTATGTTGCTTTTTTCTAAGTTATTGCCCCTTTTTCAGACAGCTTGCATACAACACCGCCCACTTCGTTGACTTTTTCTTCTTATTCACGTTATTTTTTATCAGCATTGCATGAAGCATATATATGTGCCGCTGCTGTTTTTTGTTCTTTTATGTTTTCACCAGATGTTTTTCGTGTGCATTGTTCTCGTATCGCTTTCCTGTCACCAGTGGAATCGTCGAATTTGTCGTTTTCAATGGTCACACCACTTGCGATAACCGATGATTTGCAGCTGCCGGGCGACGAAGTTTGAGCGGTTGTCGCAGGCTTTGCAGCACAAAAGCTGCAGTAGATGTGACACTCCTGTTAAGCTGACCTTGAACAAAACGACACGAAAGAAGTTTCTCACATTTCAGCTGCAAAAGAAGCGTTTTCGATTATGTACTATACCAGTCATTTTTCTACAACATCGCGATCTTTGTGAGGCTGCACCAGTGATTGGTGGGTGAAGCGCGCATCCTTGTCATGTTCGGTCGGCATGTGACGCTTTTGTTGGTGCTGTAATGAGAAGCCCATATAATGGGATCGTTATGATGTGTAGAAAACATGCTTTTGGTATTGACATGTACCGTGAAGGGAAAGCCAAGTTTAAGCCTTCAGAAAATGGGAGGTGAAACGCTGTCGTGTTTCGATTGATAGGTAACACAATTTTTTTTCTTTATGTCCAGGTTCTTTGGTGTGTCACACTCATTTCATTGGATGCTACGCTAGGCTTTTAAAACAGAAGTACATTACTGATGAAATGCACTCATAATGACATCGTTAGGGTTGTTAGGTAAGTTGTCCTGGTAGTATGCGTGAAAGACATTTAACATAAATGTAGTATAAATGTGATAACTGATTCGCAGCCTCGTATCATGCATCTGCCATTCGCTATGTTGTTTTTACGTCTCATTGGCACGCCTAATGTTTTCGTTGTATTTGTTGCCAAATGATGTGTTATGTCATTTTAAGTGCGTTATTTTCTTCACTCAATATATGTCAGAAATGCAGACATTCAACTAAATTGGCTTGACCGAAGCTTATTTAGTTTAAGAAATGAAATTTTTGGTAATATTTTAAGTGCTTCAATTGAAGGTATTGAGCACAGTTAAGTAAATGACTGTATAACTTTTAGCAGACGTATGTCACAACATTTCGGCTGAATGGTTTGAAGCGTACATTGCAGAGCTGCACAGTGGATAATACATGCGAACATTTTCAATAGTATAACTTTAGTTATTACTTTTTTTTGCTAAGTAATCACTATTCAAATTTCGAAGATTTCATCCGAGTTTGAGCACTGATCGGCTGTTTAAGAGCATTTACATCATAATTAACACAGTATCATGAGTAAACATCACACGTGACATGATTTATGTCATTAGGTGTTTACCTGAATTCTGACTCGAAGTAAGTAGTTGAAGTTTTGTTTCTTACAGCTTGTGATAGTTTCATATTTTATGTTGTGTCCTCAACGTGATGTTCCATTGACTGTGCTAGCGCAATCATCCATTCCCGTTGTTTACAATTATAGGCTTTATTACCGAAAATGCTACTCGGAAACCTGGCACTGAAGTATTTGATCCATTAGGGTACAAGTGTGGATTGTGCATTGCATTTTTTAGAGCCTGCCTTTGCCTAGTTTATTAAAGCACGTTTGCTCCTTTTATTTGAAGACCAGCTTTTTACCTGATTTTTTTTTTAGAGCAGGAAAATTCGTTACTATTCATGTCTTAATCATTGTGCTGTGCATTTCTCATCACATGACCATTTCTCATAAACAGCAAATATTAACAATTTCAAGAACAAAATCACTAAATCTAGATATGCCTGAGCAGCTATAATCACCATCAATACTTAGTCTAAAAAACCTCTCTTATTGATAATGCTCCCAAAGCATGTGCACTATAATAATGAAAGCATAAACTAGGTCACAAAGAATTAATGGGAAGTGTTGTCAAATACAGAAGGACTTTTTTTTTTTTTGCAAATTCATGTGCTTCCCTCTGTGCACATCCCACCTTGTCAAATTCTGCCATGTTGGCACTATAGGCCAATCAGCAACAGAGACATACCCAATTGAACTTTGTCTTAAAATCTGACACTTTTAGGGTTCCATCGCTGCACTAGCTGGTGGCAGCCATGTCGGTGGTACAGGCAGTAGCAATGCTTGCCTCCAGATTTTTCCTAGCATTGTTGTTGTAAAGCTTTGCACTTGTAACCGTGTTTAGTTTCGAGGATTGCCAAATGTTTGCGGTCTTGGTCACAGTGTGATGTTTGCTGTTGCAGCGATGAATTTTCGCTTTCGCGATCATAGCGAGATTATCATTGCCGCCACATAAGAATTACATCGAGTATTGGGGAAGTGCCAATGCCGAATAGATCACAATCCGCCCCTCTTTAAATTCCGAGAGTCCGTGGGATTCATACCTGGCTACTTCGTGCTGATACAGTCGAACACGGGTATATCGAACTCGCCAAAAAAACGTTTGTTAGTTCGATATATGGCCTAATTTGATATAGGCCCGGTATTGGTTTTGTCATAAAGGCACATAACAAACTAGAATAAAAGTACTTTATTAATATGGTGGCTTACTTGCGTGTCCTACTGTGGAACAAAATAGTCCTGGATTTTTTCCTGTGCCAACGACTTTGCTGCCTGCGACAGCACGCACGCCTCCATGTTGTCCAACGAGTCGGAGCAGCTGAAGCTGCAACCTTCCACATTCAAGCAATAGCGCCGGACCAACGCAAGTGTGCTAATCGCTTCGGAGGATGTAGGCAATGGGCCGTCGTCGATTTCCACTTTGCTGTCACTTTGGCTCGTGGTCGGCACGACGTCTGCAATGTAATCCGCATCCTGTAATTGGCCTATGATGGGGACATCATCGTCCGCACTGACGAACTCGTCGAATGTGGATCCGTCGATAGCACCCGGGAACTCTGCCAGCTCGTTCCAAACTTCGGTTGAAACACCTGCGGTGTCTTCAGTGCTGTCAGAATTCGGGGTGTCATCACCAGGCATGCGGAAGCCGGCATGCCTAAAGCAGTCCTGGATCATCTCCTTTCTGCTCGATCATAGGGCCGGACACCGGGATGCTTCGGGACCGAACGTCCACAAACCATTTCTAAACGGCCGCTTCAACATCTTCGTACACAGCAGCGCGCACACGTCGGGTGCCACGGGCACCTGGCCTTTTGTCCGACTTGGCCCTGATGTCTGCCTTGTTCTTCAGGTTAGTACTCAAGGTGCTCCTTGGAATTTTGTACGCAGCGGCGACGTCGGACTTCTTTTCACCGCGCTCAACCCGATTGATGATTTCGAGTTTCGCGGCGAACGGCAAATTTTGCCTCTTTGCGCAAGCCATGATGACAGCGCGCCAATACAGTTCACAGAGCACAAACAGGCAACACCACAGCACGCTGAATCGCCAGCAGCAGGCACACAAGCATAAAAAAAGGAAAAATGGCATTCACTTCTACCGCCTCCGCGCCTCGGAGAAAGCACGACGGCCTCTGATTAGCTGTAAGCGTAGCGAGCGGGCCAGGATCATTTCTTGGAGGGGGGTGTTCGCCCGCGCACAACTGGGTCTAACCGACTTTTTCTAGGGTGGCGCCGGCAGTTTTACGCGCCAACGCGAGGGAAAGCCAACTTGCTGGGGCACTTTTGAGGCACATGGAGTTTGATATATCAGTTGTCGTTGCTATTTTCCTCCGATAGAACAGTAACTTTTGCTATATATTCTCAATGTAAACTTACCGTGTTTGGGAATTCTTCGATATACGGGATAATTTGATATAAACGGGCTTGACTGTATCATTATCAAACATGATTGCTTGCTTGTAACAAGACCTTATGCATGATAGAGTAACCTTGCTTCCACTATTTAGTTATGAGAAAGTGATTTGTAATTCTTCTATGTCACTTTCTCATTGATCTTCCAGATTTTCTCAAAGCGTGTGATTTCTGTAGCTGGCATTTATACAAACACATTCTATTTGACCAGCTGTAAAACTTTTCTTCCTGCACACTTGTTGGCTAGAGCGGTTAGAAGTGATTTACAGGACAAAAAACTTTGCAGCTCTCGGACACTAATCACAGTTTTTGCTTAGCTGCTGCAATTGTTAATTGAATAATTAAAGATTTAAATGCTTATTGTATACAGGATGCTTTGATTGAGCTAGGCTTTGTGGAAAAAGTGTCATTCATCACATCATAGTTGTTTACAAAACGAATAGCCAGTGTTCACTCTTTTGGTCACAAAACTGATACCATACAGAGAGCTGTTTATAAATTCGGTGGCAGCTAAAAAAAACATACAGAACATTGAAAATGAGAAACTTTTTTTGTGTGGTTGGAGTGTAGGTGTGACTAACATCATATTGAGTCAATTTTTTTCTTACTGTATGTCTAATTAGATGTCTGGTAGTGATAATTGCACTGTGCCCTGAAGGAATGCTGGTATGAAAGAAATGGTAAAAAAATATTTTTTGACACTTAAGCAGATTTTTAGACTATGATAGTCTGTATTATAGAGTCTATGATTATGTAATCAAAGTTTACGATTACAAAAATGAATATATTGACAATTAGTGTTGAAGCCCAAGAAAATAGCTCTAATAGCATTGAAGAGAATATCTCTTTTTGCCATGTTTTTCGATGAAAGAATAATCTTTGACCTTTTATTAGTTTTTTTTTTCAAAAGCCACTGCTGTATTTATAACCGTGTTGAATGAGCCTTCAAAAGTATAGAGAATATAGCTTCATGTCATGGCATGATATATTTTTGTGGGAATATATGTAACACAAGAATAAGTACCAGAGAGGTGAGACGAAGTTAGTACATTCAAACCTCAATATAACAAAGTCACACCTGCTGCAAAAATGCTTCGTTATATCAAAAAATTAGTTAAAGACATACACTTGCAGTACTGTACCTTTGACAGAGCTATTCTTCATGTACTTTGTTGTAACTGATAAATCATTATATCTAGGCTCGTTATATTGAGGTTTGACTGTATGCGAATTTACCATGAAGTGAGATATAGTAAACAGTCACTTCCATCACCAGTGCTCTGCATTTTTGGAACTACAGCGATTACAGAGAATGTCCTTCCAATTTCGAAGTTATTCACGGCTAATCTAAAAATGAAATGGTCAACACTTAGGGACTATTGAAACATACTTCCGAATCTGAGCAAGGCCTGAAGCACGTTTGTGCCTCCAAAAGGTGTTAAATTTTCTAGTGCAGATGCGGTATGCATACAATCGCAGCTTCCTACGACATTCCTAGATTGCGTGACGAAGATGCTTATGTCTCGAACAAAAAGTACCGAAAAGTACACATGTGCCACATATATATTTTTTTTCACGCTTCGACTGTACTACTGTGGACAAATGAAACGCACGTCTCTCAAAGCGAATTTTATTTGACACTGCAATATTACGTGCTTTTAATTTTAATAACAAAGTATTATGCAACAAAATTCCAATTAAGTATCCTAATGTGCCTGCCACATGAAAAGCAGTCTTGAAAAAGCCTTGCCATTCCAACAGAAATAAAAAAAAATTATTTCTCAGTGTATTGTTTGCTTGCAGTAGTATAGTTGAGCAGCTTTTCTGCTGGCATTTCGGTATTTGGGCAAAACTTCGGCCCATCTTCCCAGAGACATTTACGTTGAAAGTATTGGACAGAGCATGTGAGGCTGCCATCTCTCTGGGTGCGTTGCTCTTGTGATATACACTGCGCGTTTTATATGTCGTTGTAAAGCTTGATGATTGTCAACACAAGTTCCCCGTAAATTTCGTTCTTCGCAGTGCCTGAGCGAGGCCATGTTTCTTTACAACCCGCATGTTTCTTGTTTGAGCAAGTTCTTCTTTCCACATATGGCAGTGCCAAATGTTGCTGTTGTTATCGAGTTAAATAACTCATTAGGAAGTTGCTTGGTTCATTTTGTATCGCCTAACACCATTTTGGCAATTTTCTAATCATCGCTAAGATAATTTCACGTACATGTACCTATCTTCATTTTGCTGATTTTAAACTCGGTGTTGCTTTTTGGTAGACCGGATATTGCAACACGTTTGGATGACAGTGCGCGTTGAAAAGGAATGAGATGTCTATTGTAGTACTATTTTCGTTATCTCTGGAAAACACTTTGAATTTTGCCGTTAATAATGCATTGTCTGAAGCAAATACGTGTTTGTTAATTTGCCCACTATGGTTTCTGAACATCGTACACAATTAAATTTTGAAACTGTGCCAAGTTTGAATGTGTGTTTTTGGACATTGGTTTGTTACGGTGGTTTGGGGTAAGTGGTACATGTGGGATGTAAATGACTTTGAAACAAATGCATCGGCTGGTTTTGGTTATAAGAAAAAAAAAGATGGCTGTGCACCATCTAGCATCCTAGGAGTTAAAGATAAACTGGCGTGCGCAAATAAAGACAAGAACACAAAAAAGACTGGACAGGGACAGACGCCTGCCTTGTCCGGTATTTCAGCGTTCTTGTCTTCATTTGCGCATGACAATTTACCTTCAAGTATAAACGAACTCGCCCAGCGGCAAATTTTACTCATCCTACTTTTGCTAAGTTTTCTTGAGGTCAGCTGTACGCTTTTGACAAATGTTCGATTTGTGACGGGGCTGCCCACTCACACTTGTGATGGCTTGCCTTTCTTTTCCGAAACACTTGCGAATGTGAGCATACGTGTCAGCAGTAATGTGCAAATCCAACAGATGAGTGTTACTTTGAAACCTCGGACTTTCAAGAACCTCTTTTTCTCATCTACGGTACGTTTCTGACCATGAAGCTGCATGGTTTGTAGTCGGTTTTAGTGTCTCTGGCTCAGCTTGTGGCGTTTATGCATAACGGGAATGCATTGCTACGACGGGAACTTACAGGTTCGTTGCGGTTGCTTTGAAAAACCCGCAAAAATGCCTGGCGTGCAGTATTCTGGCAGCTTTAAACTGGTTACTAGCTGCTTTTATGAAAGCTGCAAGTCAGTGCCTGTCACCGCTCCCGTGCAGAACTATCTCCCATATCCCACATCTCACCGTGACAGCAAGGCAACAAAATATTGGTGTGTTGCCGCACAAATTATGTGAAACTTCCGATTTCTCCAGTGCTTCGCACTTTCCAGTTGAGCATGTACAGACCCCTTTGCAGCTTTGTGGAGCCTCAAGTTGCTTGTTTTAAGAGCGTGTTTGTGCTGTCTGGGCGAGGAAAATTGAGACGTGGAGGTCTTTGTACAAGGAATTTTGAGCTTGGAAAGTGGTATTCACTTCGAGGGGATTCTGAAAAGGCAACGCCAGCACACGTTGTGCTCCAGATTAGCGTGGCCGGTATCGCGATCGAGTTTTCCCTCTAGCTGATAGCGCGACCACCCAAGTTGTGTGCTGTAGCTACACTGCACCATTTTTTCTGAGCACTTGTCGTGAAAGTGGCCTCCGTTCTGTAGCAGGAATGAAAAAAAGGAAGAAAGGAAGATTTGATGCTGGTGAGCAGACCTGTAAATATCGGTTAGCAGAGTTGTCTCTGTAGAAAAGTCATAGCTGATCAGTCTGTCGTAACTTACGTGTACACGATCAGTGTCTTTAGCCCTGTGACAATGATCTACATAAGTAATGTGCATGTACTTGTGATAGAAGTAGCATTGTGCATGTATGCACATGATGCAGCATTAAACAAACTCTGTCTGACTTTGGAAGCCTCTCCTTTTCTGCTGTTTGCCTCGTATGTAAGACACCGATCTCATGTGATTCACTGTTGTCGTGTTTCTTCGTTTTTAGTTTGACTCACGGAGTGCAGGTCTTTGTTGAGGGGTTCGTTGCGTTACTTTGCTTGGAGACGTTGCGAGTTAAGGGCACGCCGAGTTTGAAGGGTTGACATGGAGAGGCAGGGCAGCTTAGACTACGATTTGAGGAGCCAAAATCGCCAACTGTTCTTTTCCAAATCAAAAATGCGAGTGTTGCAGCGTGGGTATGCTTTCTTAGCGAACAATTCGCCGCACGCATGCATGCCCAAAGTACCATTTTGTAATGTTTATTCCTCGTTAATATTCGTTATATATTTGGAACTGTGTCTCTGGCACTTTCTTCATTTTAGATGTGTTTTTCAGTTTTCCATGCCGAGCTTAGAATATTGATGAACTTCCTCACTCGAGTCTTCTAGCACTCCAAACTTTCAGTGCATATTACAGTGCAGAGAATAAGCATAAATTGGGAATCACATCAAACATGCTTCTGAAGTGTAATCATCATCGTGTCAATGCTTTCATTTCAAACTGCGTAATTACCGTGCCATATGAGTTTGCTGGAAAGGAGTTCTTTGCAGTTCTTGTCGAACTGAGTGGCTTTGTGTGTTACACATTTTCGATATGATAAAACTGCTGTTATCATACATTGTTAAATAAGCACTTTGATGATGCTTGCTGATGCTGGGGAGAAAAAAAACAGGCCCAAAACATGTCATGTTGTTGATGCTTTACTTGTTAAACGAATGTATCGAAGTAAGCAAGAGCTTGGAGGGTCCTTCATGCTTTTATTTATGTTCCATGTCTGTTTGCTCATTTGCGATGGGGGCATTAAATGCCCGTACATAATAACTGCAAGACTAAAAAGTTGCAGTGGTTGTTGCTTACTGAAACATTTCGTCCCATACGCATACACGTGTTAGGTAGTTAGTTGTGTTGTAGGATCTCATCATAGTCGCATCCCAACCTTCATTCTCTTGATTTGCCCAAATGCTTTTTTTAGTTTTGTCATCGGCTCCACACATCTTGGCATCATCGAAAAGCGTGAAGTTACAAACATGGTGAACGCGAGTGAAATATGTAAATAAATAAAGAAATGCTTGCATATTCCGAGTGAGCTGTTCAAAGAGGAAGCAACCTTTCCATTTTTTGCATGTTACATATATAAATGTTACTATGTACCATGTACTCTGTGCTGCAATGCACGTAGTTTTTTCTTCTTCTGTACTGAATGTCGAGTCTGATGGACTAGAGGAAGAGCCTTTATTTTGTATAGCAGAGCCTACTTCTCAGATGTTCATGTTTTTGACAGAGTCTGCGTAACTTGTCGTTGAACATTATTACATCAGTGTTTAAATGCTGTTGATGTGTCATGCAACTCTCAATGTATATAACTGTTCAATAAATCAATGTTCATGTTACGGTGCATCGTGGCCTCTGCGTCGTTATTGCGTTCTTGACGGATACTGATTCATAGACTCCCATTTAATGAAACTCTCTTAAACGAAATTGCTGTCTAAATGGAGTAACTGCCACTAATATGTCTGGTTTCCTACTTGAATATTGTACCCCTGTTTATCTCTCTGTAAACGAAACTCCTATTAAAGGAAACATATTTTCCTGGTCCCTTCAGGTTTCGTTTAAACGGAGTCTACTGTATGGCTATGCATGTGGTGCTTGATGATCAAGGAACCTGCAAACCTTTCACAGGCCACATCAGGGATGTTGTTAGATGTGTCACCTTTATGACAAAAGAATGACAACAATATACGAGTTGCCAAAGCATGGATTACAGTAATTGTCAAAACTATATTTGCTAGCAGGATTTTTTAAAAAAGGCTTTGTATGCAAAATAGTGACAGCACACACTTAAAGAAGTTATAGCCGTCGTGCTAGCTCAGTTGGTAGAACATAGGAAATGTTAGTCGCAGGTTTCTTTCTCCACGTTTACATTACATTTACTTCTAATAACATTCTTTATACATTCCTTGGCATGATTGTCTGTTAGAGCTCATAATTGTTATGTCTAACAAAGAAAACAAGCCCTTAAATTTACACTTCTTTCCTTGCATTCATTCAAAAGTGTGTTTTTTACAAACATCTCACTGTTTTTGGCAGCCTGGAAATGAAGCAACAAATTGTACACTTTTGTTTTACTCAAAATAATTTACGTAGATACGTCATTCAACTGTGTTCAGTCATTTCCATGATCAGAGTGAAGCCGCAGGAACACAACTTCCAAGGTCTGCAAAGTTTTTCAGAAACCGCTTGTGTTTTTTAGAGCAGAAACGAGTCGCAGAATCGAAAAGGCAAGTATATGCAGTGTAATTTTGTGACCAGATTTCTGGCTGAGCCAGTGACTCTAATACTCACATGGCTCCTTGAAAAAGATCAACACTTAACCATGCACATCTGTGGATTGAGCTAGTACTACTCATCTCACTGAGAGCTGTCAGAGGGAGTTCTTTATTGCCCACCTCACAAGCATGGTGCATTGCTGGTTCTACACCAACAGACACACCTGTACATTCTACTTCTTTATAGATATATATGGTGATTCGCTTGTGTAACACACAAGGGGAAGTAAGGGTCATGAGAAAACACATTACGTCTGCTGACTAGCGAAGGTACCCGACCGAAATGCCAACGCATTTTTGGAGCGACTGAGAGATTGCAGCACGATCAGAGGCAATTAATGACAACATGACACGATTTTACTCTCCAGGTGTCGCCATCTTGGACTGATAAGCGATTGTTTTTCCGGTTCTCCATATGTCGGAATATGAAGTTATCACGGTCATGGAATGTTGAATGCTCCGGCCGAAGCGTTTTCGTGCGTGTGAGTTCACCATAGCAGTGTTTGTTTATTTGATACCGGTTCAAAACTGCAACGTTATCTGTCCAAGATGGCGTCGATTGAGCGTGTCTAAATTTTCTTGGCAGTCGACCGAGGTGGTATTGGGGTTGTCACTGGTCAGTTGCTGATCAGAAACTCGCTGGCTCGACGCCGGTCGCGGCCATCGCATTTAGGCGAAATGTTAGCCGGCGCTGTGCCATGTCGGTACATGAACGTATAATGTACCAGATGGCCGAAATTTTCGGAGGATTACCTTCTCTTGACAAGGAGAGTTAGGGGGACGGAACGTTCGCAGTGAGTAATCCCTGTTTCGCGCGCGTTTCTTACCGCTGTAAAAAGTGACAGAATTCGCTTTGTCTGCTTAGACCATGTTTAGGGTAAAATACGGCGAAAAATCGATGCAGAGGTTATGGCCACGCCGCTAAATAAGGGTGGCTTGCTAGGTTTGAAACTTGCATTGTGAAAAATATTTGAACAACACGAAAAAAAAAAAAACACGGATACGCGAAAAAAGTTGTACATGGACAGTGCTGATGCGTGTCAGCTCTTTTTTCATGTATTGGTGTTTTTGTTTGTTCGTTTTTTGCAGGCGCTGTTGAAATTTTCTTCGCCATGAATTACCAACACGCCAAAAACACTCACGTTTATCGGTTCAAGCACGTAGCACTTGAGGGGACTGGCTTGCCCATCCATTGAATCTGATGTGACGTGACGACGCTCAAAATCAAGTGGTCAATACAGGCCTAAAACAAGGTCTAAAATAATCCCACGATTCGTAAAATAGTAGTATGATCAGAAATAATTAAGATTTAACCGTTATCAATAATTGACACATGCGCCGTCCAAGAGAGGGCGCCACTGCCTCGTCAATGTCTTTTTTTTTTCTTAACTACACTATTTATCCCCCCGCCCCCGCCCTGTTTCTTAGTTCTCTTGCCGTATCTTCCTTTCAAAGCCAATTTCGCTATAAATGTGGTAACCCGTTTTAAAGGGAATGGCACCGCATCATCATCATCATCATCATCGCGCGATCTGTCACCGGTGTTTCTCCAGCGGCGGTGTTACGAACTCCGGCGAACGATCGTTAACGGAGCTATAACAATAGCGCAATTTGAATCACTCGGTGACTGTGAAGCCACGTAATTCTTCATGCATTGCCTCATTTGCATTTTTTTCAACCATTCTGAAGCATGATGTCATTTGGTCTCGACAGAGGGGGAGGAAGAGGTTTCGCCGTGGTGAAACTTTGTTCCCCTTCCCACTTTCTCCCCGATGGATCATGCGCTCGCTTGTGCATGCGTAGGAAACATGACGAATGCATGCATTGTTGCCCTAATTTTCGCTCAATTTGGGTCTGTTGCCTGCTTTATTGTGAAGCAGTTTAAAAGTATCTATGGTTCGGTGATATACTGCTGTTGAATTCGCCAAGTCAGCTTTCCGGGGAAACGCAACGTAGAATGTATACTCAGGGTTCAGGAAAGGGCGCTGCGTATACTGTCAAATTGCGCCATATTGTTCAATCAGCCATCTTGTCATGTGTGATCGACCCAGAGGGCATGTCTATGTCTTGGTTTAAAATACAACGCAATGACAGCTCTTGATAACGTGGCGAAAATCCACAGTTGAAATTCAGTAGGCACACCAGGGCCTGAAGCGCGAATCTTTGCCGTTTTCCAGAAAGGGGTGACCCACAGGGTGAAATCACGAGATAGGTGAATTTCTGAACAAAGACGATCGGCACACAGCTAACAACGAGTTTCATTTCACCGTAGCGGAATGAAAAAAAAAAAAAAACGAAATTATATGAAGATAGCCCTCCATTACGTGGCGCACGCACGAAAATCTCAAAATATCCACGCTCTTGGTAAACAGAGGCGTGCTCTTCAAATTACAGTCATGCTCTATTTTTTTTTCAGCGAGTCTACAGAAGCCATTGTTACGGCTGAGCCACTGCGCTTGTGGGTCACGTGTGCCTGAAAAATATCCCAGGTGCTTTTATCTTCTTACCTTTTTAAAACCCGTGTTCGGTAAAGGCGTGGCGGTCAACCACACTTCCCGCGATGTATAGATCAAGATCACTGCCCGTACCACTCTTCATTTGGCGCATGCTTGTTCTCGAAGTCGATCATTTCGGCAATGGCCTGTTTGCCCGGTGTGACTGTACAGGAGATGGCGGTATATGACACTTCCGATCGGCATTCAACAAATTGCCGTGCGTGAATTGTTGGAGCGAGATATTGCAACAGCTCCCTGCGCGTTGACTTTTCCACACAATCCACTTTGTTGTGTACGCTATATTGAAACGACCGAGACATCGAATCGAGTGGTAACCATCTTAAGTCGGTGGGATATAACCTGAATGTATGGGATGACTGCAAAATTTTTCCGGTAAATGACGTGGGCGTTGGGAGAAGGGGGAGGGAAAAAAAAGCACTTGACCCCCCCCCCCCTTTCCCCAGCCATCATTATGATGCAACGCGGGTTTGCAGTCTGTCGCGGTGGAGCAGTGGTACATACATACGACCTGGCCTATATTTGTGCCATTTTGTTCTAGTTTGTTCTCTACAACTTCGAAGATAGCCAACGACAACTTCCAAGATGCATCTCTCAGCTTCCCCTGGGGAGTCCTTTCGGCCCACTGTGATGACCATGGTCAGTAGATACGTCTTGTCCAGCTTCATTGGAATGGCGGACTTCGGTTGCAACTGCAGAACTTTCTGGACGTCCCGATGTACGACGGAAAGTGCTTTTCCAACAAGTGTCACAGCATTAGTTATGTCACATGTTTTAAAGAACACTGGCAACCGAAGCGGCATATATTAACACAGCTTCCCCCTGGTTAGCCAGCCACACAAGCCACCACGGAGAGAGCATTCTCGGCACTTATACGATTTGTTTTATCAGAACAGCGGTCTCGCATATCACTCGATGGCGTTCTACTTCTGAGACCACGCTGAAGTATTCCCTTGTTGTACAGTGATCAGCTTGTTCGGAGAATTCTTAATTGATTTCAGAGGAAGGCAAAGGACATGTCCAAACGTGATAATCATGATACGCGTGTCATGTTAAACATGACTGCATACTACGCTCATAGCGCGCTCGCAGCCTAACGCTAGCTTCACATATACCAAATTTGATAATACGTGACGTGAATGGACGGCGAACACAAATGCCTGGCGCAAACATGATAGTCATGGAAGTCATGTATGGCATAATTTACACGCCTACCACTGCTGGTGCTGGTATTGCAAACGTTAGTGGTGCCGTCATTACGCGACTATAAACGACATACTTGCATCTTATCTAGAAACCTGAGTGCGCATAACATTTCTACTTGTGTTTACTGTGTACTACGTCCGTCCACATCGTAACCTCGTGCTAATTCTAAAGTGTCATATCTATTTTCCTTATTCGTGCTTCGCATATCATCCATTCCCACTGTACGTGGGATCTGCCAATTTTTTTGTTTTATTTTTGCGTGTGCCTTCACAAAGACCTTATGGTTGTTCCTGGGCACGTTAAATAAATGATTGATTGACTATTACTATTGTCATTGTCCTTTAATGTGTAA